TTGGTTGTAGGGGCAGCTCTCCTGTCACGACAAAGGCCCTGCAGGAAAAATTAGAACTTCAATTGGGGGACCCTCTGCTGGACATCATTTAAATTGGGAAAAATATCTGCCCACCAGTCATTTTGGAGGGTTCCCAAACGAGGTGATTTTGAAAAATAGATGGCCCTGGCAAATGAACTAACACCACCTAACCCAGCGTCATCTATTTCTAAACAAACTATGACCTGAAAGGGACACGTATGGTTGCCAATAGGACTTGGTTGACGTTGGAAGGGGAGCAACAATTTAATTTTAGCAGTTAAGTGGCTGGATTTCAACCACTAAACCACAATAAGCAAAAATGTAAGATGTGTCCCAACAACAACTATGAGGAGTCCTAGCCAATCCCGGACTGCCGGGTGCACGGTGCGCGACTTTCGAATCCAAATATTCTTGCTTCGCTTGAAAAAGGCTGGCGTGGCGGATTCCCTACCGAAACTGTCCATGTTTGAGGCTCGGTGCTTTTTCCGATGTGTGAAAAGGGATGACAAGGGACTCTGCTCATGGGGCGGGTTCCCGATTTGGAGACAACCCGTTGAAAGTGGGAAAACCCGGTAAAGCCCTGGGGATTGGGGTTCACTTGCAGCATGTAGGGAGTCCATCATTGCCGCTAGACCCTGCTTCATATGTTGCATCTCTCCTCAGAGCGGCGCGGGACCTCCCATGAACATCTGGGTTGGTGTGACCATGAGACAGTCAACAGCTCTTGCAAAACAGTGAAACATGCCTTGCTCGTGAGCGGGTCTTGCGTGCGTCGTCCAAAAGGTTAAAACCCGATTTCTGACAGATCAAACAGCAACCAAGTTACCCAGTCTCCCCAAAAGAAACAACACATACAAATGGCGTGGTGTCGGGCAATCCCCACCCGCAACTCCATGCAAAAAAGCAACTGGGTTGTGGCCTCTTGGTTTCCTTTGCAAGCCACCCAAAAACGGGGTCTGCCATTCAGAGAAATACTTAAGGAGACCCAGGTCCGTGTTATCAACAAAAAAAATGACCGGACGAAATTGTGGCTGTGGTGGTCAAGACCGTTTTGGGACCCCATTTGGGGTAGGTGCACCACCCCTTTTAGTCGGAATTTTAGTGGAAATTGGCAATTGGGATGTTCACTGGGGGTACGGGGCTTTTGACCCATGGCCATGTGTCTGTGTTTTGTGTGTGTGTCATGATCGAGGGACCCCACAATGGAAAGGTGCCCCTGCCGGTTTCCATTTGCAACCTGAAAGGGTACCACTCCTCAAAACGAAAACGCCGAAATCTGAGGGGCCCAGTACTTCCAGTTACCACTACAATAGGTAGCCAAAGTAAACCATCATGTAGAACCTAAGGGTGAAAAACCCTTACCTACTCCTCACTTCCTGGCTGGATTGCCCAAAAAAGGTCTGAACTTTAATTTACCACCAAAATGATCTTCCCAACAAAAATGTAAAGTTCTAGGGGTACTTTCCCCGTTCTTTCCAGGGAATCTTGATTGAAACAAAAAACTGTGGAAACAGCTGATTTTTGAAAGTTAAAAAGAATGGACAAGGAATCAACCCCTAGAAAAGTTCAGGAACCCAGGACGAGGGTGCGCTTGCGGCAAGCGCCTGGAAGCGATCTGGGCTTCCCTACGAGGGCGCCCGGCCTGCAAAGCCAAAGCGCTCCGCTCGCGCGCCTGGCGCGCTGGCGCGCGCGACTTAGGTCGACCAATGCCTGGTAGAAACTGACATTGGTTGAAACCCAAAAAGATTAAAAACCAGGAACTCAGGGAGTGAACATAGGGAGTGAGTAACCCCCAGGAAGCGGTGTCCATCGCTCCAAAGATTGACTTCAGCCCGAGTCATTCGATGGATAACACATTCCAATTCGTTCCAGGTATCCGTTTCTTTCCAGAACACCACCAGAAAAAACCAGGAAACTTGCTTGGCGGTTGAAGAAGAATCATACGTCTTCAACCTTTCCGTTTTTGTTTTACCAACCCAAAAGGGTCGCAAGAAAGACACACCCAAACAACACACCTGATTCACACGGGAATCCTCCAACCTGCGATCTTGATTCTTGCCGACATGTAGTCTGAAAAGCCTATGTCACCTGTAGCCAAACCACATGTTGCGTTTAAAGGGAAACCCGGCACGGGCTTAAAAAAAAAAAAAAAAAAAAACGGGACCTGCATGCCGCTCTCCTAACTGCCAGCTGCTTCTCGCTGTTGGGGTCCAAATTGCCCGAGCTGACTGATGGATAGGGGGACCAGGAACAAGCCATGTGACTTTTCACGTCCGAGTGGCTGGTCCAACAAAGTGCAGCAACTGTTGCAACCAGGATGATCTTCCCAACAATGACTAAAGTTCAACAACTCGGGAACTGAGATGTCGTGGCAAAAAGGCCGCTGCACACAATGATCAACTTGGTGCACAAGTTAATTGTGGTGGGGAATCGCACATGTTCACGAAAGTTAAACGCTCAACACATCCAACCCAACAGCAGCCAAGGGAAGAACACAGAGGGCAGCCCCAAACGCTGAGCAAACATCATTTTGACAATGGGATCTGGACCCGCTTTGGTTTGTATTTGAAGGGAATCCAGGAGGAAAGCAACCATGTTCGGGGCTTCCGAGGGCTTTTCATATCTCCAGCTGTTGAGGGATTTTTTGGAGTTTCGAGTTAGAATTGCAACTGTTCTCAGATGTTTTAGTTGTCGTTTGAGGCTAGAGTTAGAATTGTAACCAAGGGAGGATCCTTCCTAACTTTGAGACAAACCCATACTCTTTAGATATTTCTGGTATTTAGAGTCCGAGATTGAGGCAAACCCATATATCTTGAAATATGTTTGATGTTATTCTGCAGTTTAGCTAGGTCCTCCAGTAGAGAGGTTAGAATAAGGGTACCCTTTTTTGCTGTAGCCTATTCTAGTAGGGGAACCCTCCCCCCAAAAAGAACCGGTAAAAGGGCACCATGGCCGGGGGACCTAGTCAATTAGGGGGTTGGGGATCATGGCACAAGTCGAATGTAAACTCATGCTTGATGTTATTCTGAAGTTTACATTGAGCAAATAAAACTCCTTTGAGCAAAAAAGGATGTGGGTTGATGCTCAAAAGGAGTCGAATGTTGGTGGATGAACTCCTTTGAGCAAAGCCCATTGCCTTGTCCCAGGCCTGCGTCCCTTCACAGGCCCAGCTCCGCTTCGAGGCTCGGGTCGTCGAAGCGCCGCAGCACCTCGAGGCCGGCGCTTGGCTTTGGCTTTGGCGCTTCACTCGAGCGTTGTGGTTGATCGCTCGAGGTTTCTCCAAGCACTTCCTCAGTTGCCCAAAGGACCCAGAACTAAAAGGTGATCACCTTTTGGCACCTCTACTAAAAATGGACCAAAATTGGAAGACCAAAAGGTCAACAGGTCGGCTTTGGACAACTGAGCTTCTGTAATACAGGGGACTTGTTCTTTTGGAGCGTTGTGGCTTTGGAAACAGTTATGGCGCATTCTGTAAACTACCACAGATCACTCGGGTTGTGGGATCACGGTTGGTGTGCCACAGGTGTTTTTTTGTTGGGGTGCCCGAAGAATCTTGCGGCCTCAATCAACTGGGCTGCCCGTTTTCAGATCCCCTGCTAAAAGTGACTAACTTTTGGTGTGTTGAATGGACACTACCACTAAGCCATAAAAGCCTAAAAGGCTAAGGGGACGGCTGGGGGCCACCAGGGTAATAAGGGAATCTCCCCCTTTTGGGGCATTGTGGTTTGAAAAAAGTTATGGCGCAACTGGCGGAGAGATACGATGATTCGGGTGACGATGCAATCGCGCGGGTGCGATTGCAAGTTGCCCTGGACACAATCGCGAAGTCGTCCTCCATCCCGCGACGCAAGACTAGGTCCTCCAGTAGAGAGGTTAGAATAAGGGTACTTGTTTTTTCTGTGGTCAATTTTAGTAGGTTTGAACCCTCCCCCCCAAAAAAAAGGTACAAGGGCACCACTTGCTGGGGGACCTAGAAGACGCAAGTCTGGAGATGGCAGTGACCGGATCTCACGTTCCGTGGCGGCCGCAGTTGAGGCCTTTGAGGACGGCGGTTGATTGCATTTCACAAGAAACCGGTTCCTGACCCTCAAATTCCCCCAGAAAAAGGGAAGTCACCCCATCACTTTTGGCCAAGTAACCCATGCTCAGGGGAATTTGGAGGGTTCGGGCATGGTGCGGGGACCGGAACCCGTTTTTGGGCTACCCCGGAAAGGAAGGCCCTGAGCTTCCGTCGATTCGATGCTGGGGCATGGGAGTCAACCCCTGCGGGCCTTGGTTCCTTGCCCAGTTGCTTGGGCGTGCCCCCCCCATGAGGGGATCGTTTTGAGTTGCATTTGAAACAATCTGGACAATTGCAAGGTCCCGCACCACAAGTTGCCCTGGGGTTTGGACAGTTTCACTGGCACACTTCTTGGGGGTTGGGCGTTTCGGGGATCTCCACTCGGGAAGTTTGACTCAAATCCCCCGGGACTTGACCCACCGTTCGAAAACAGGGCAGTGGTCCCGAAATGAAGAGTACCCTGGTTTTCTGTAGTCTATTTTAACAGGGGAACCCAAGGGTTAAAGGACATTAGTGGGGGAGCTAGTCTACAACAGAAAGGGCTCCCAAAGCCAGGGCGTCTCGCTCGTCTTTCGATGATTGCTGGGTCAGCTCCGAGAAAGATGTCTCTGGCGTCTCTAAGTTTTTGGCGGATGGCCACGCTTGCTTGGTTCCTGGATGCGTGCTTCAAGTACACCGGTGCGAATGCCGCCGGTGCTTGCGCCTCACCGGGCTGGGTGGACATAGTCAGTTCGTGTTGATGCTTTTGCTTTCTTGTAACCAAAAGGAATGGAACAGCGGATGGGGGCATGGATGTTCCCAAATTAGACATGTTCCGCTGGGATGGAAACAACTTCAAGAATCTAAACTTGGAACGTTTAAGCCGGTTGAAATGTTTGTAACCCAAATCCAAGTTTCCAAAGAATACCCCTGCGCTCGCACCCGGCCAAAACAGAGCTTGAACTTTGTCTTGGAGGATTGCAGGAGCTTGTCTCATAAAAGGGCTAATTGGTGGTGTACTATACATAGCTATATATATATGTATATATATATATATCGACCACACATATGTGTATGTATACAAATATATATATATATATATACACACTAATATGACAAGGTGCTTTTCAATGGTAGGGTTGACTTAAAAGGAAACCAAAGGAAGACCCATCCATTTTTGGGGTCCCCCTACGCATACCCATATGGGTGTGGGTCAATATTCTGGTGTGGAACGTTCCGCGGTGACGCGGACGTCTGGAACGAGTCAGTTACGTAAGGCTGGTTGTTCCGGACCTCTGGGAAGACATGTGTGGAGTCCTCAAGCACACGTGAGCGAGAGGCAAAACCTAAGACTACTTTGGGCGGGGGCTTCGCTATATCGTTCTGCAATGTTTCAGACACTGGTGTGTTTATGTCAAGGAAGGGTGGAAGGGGGAAAGAGAAAGAATGGAGGAAGAGAGCAGAGGAAGAGAAACTGGGAGGAAGAGAAAGCAGGAGGAGAAAGGACGAAGGGAAGAAGGATGGGGAGGAAGGGATAAAGGAATCCAGGGAGTAAGGGAGCAAGGAAGGATGGGGCAAGGGAAAAAGGAGGGTGGAAGGGAAGGGAGGAAGAGGAAGGGAGGAAGAGGAAGGGAGGAGGAGGAAGGGAGGAAGAGGAAGGGAGGAGAGGAAGGGAGGCAGGGCAGAAGAGGAAGGGAGGCAGGGCAGAAGAAGAAGGAAGGGAGCAAGGGAAGAAGGCAGGAAGGCAGGAAGGCAGGAAGGCAGGAAGGCAGGAAGGCAGGAAGGCAGGAAGGCAGGAAGGCAGGAAGGCAGGAAGGCAGGAAGGCAGGAAGGCAGGAAGGCAGGAAGGCAGGAAGGGTGTAGATGCTGCGCCTCCAGCTCCATGACATGCTTTTTTTGACGCTGGTTCCAGACCGCCCACAAGCATGGGAGGTGGAGCAGGGCCCACACGCTGACCACCACTGATTGATGGGCAAGCGGAGGTATCGTTCAGAGTATCGTTCAGACAGCCCTCCAAAACCAGAAAATTTTGCCCATATTCTCTCAGTCCAGGGCATGTGCCAAAACCAGCTACACGTTGCGTGCGTGCGCCTCGCAGCCCGGACTGCTGTTCGGTGACTTGGTAGTTGCAAGCGAGACTTACAAACAACTTGAAGCACAGCAGCACCATGCGAGCACGAGGGGTGTGGTTTCAGTGTCGTTTTGGGTATCGTTTTGAGCAAGCAGTACTTCGGTGGCCAAAAATGCAGTTCACACTCCCCGAATGATCCGAAAAGGTGTTTTCGACGCTCCAAAATTACTTTTGGGTATGGTTTGGCGTGCCGACTGTGGCGCCTGCGGGTGCAAGCAAGAAGCATGAGCAGTAGGAAGGAGAGCAATCGGTGGCCCAGAATGCAGTTCACACCCCCCGAATGATCCGAAAAGGTGTTTTCGACGCTCTAAAATTACTTTTGGGTATGGTTTGGCGCGCCGACTGTGGCGCCTGCGGGTGCAAGCAAGAAGCATGAGCAGTAGGAAGGAGAGCAATCGGTGGCCCAGAATGCAGTTCACACCCCCCGAATGATCCGAAAAGGTGTTTTCGACGCTCTAGAAATACTTTTGGGTATGATTTGGCACGCCGACCGTAGCGCCTGCGGGCGCAAGCAAGAAGCGTGAGCAGTAGGAAGGAGAGCAAGCAGTTCTTTGGTCGCCCAGAATGCAGTTCACACTCCGCGAATGATCGGAAAAGGTGTCTTCGACGCTCCAAAATTACTTTTGGGTATGGTTTGGCGTGCCGACTGTGGCGCCTGCGGGTGCAAGCAAGAAGCATGAGCAGTAGGAAGGACAGCAATCGGTGGCCCAGAATGCAGTTCACACTTGCCGAGTGATCCGAAAAGGTGTTTTCGACGCTCCAAAATTACTTTTGGGTATGGTTTGGCGTGCCGACTGTGGCGCCTGCGGGTGCAAGCAAGAAGCATGAGCAGTAGGAAGGAGAGCAATCGGTGGCCCAGAATGCAGTTCACACTCCCGAGTGATCCGAAAAGGTGTTTTCGACGCTCCAAAATTACTTTTGGGTATGGTTTGGCATGCCAACTGTGGCGCCTGCGGGTGCAAGCAAGAAGCATGAGCAGTAGGAAGGAGAGCAATCGGTGGCCCAGAATGCAGTTCACACTCCGAGTGGTCCGACAGGGTGCTTTCGACGCTCCAAAATTACTTTTGGGTATGGTTTTGGCATGCCGACTGTGCGCCTGCGGGTGCAAGCAAGAAGCATGAGCAGTAGGAAGGACAGCAATCGGTGGCCCAGAATGCAGTTCACACCCCGCGAATGATCCGAAAAGGTGTTTTCCACGCTCCAAAATAACTTTTTGGGTATGGTTTGGCCCTTCCAGCAACCTCGAAATAGCAAGCCGGGGAACGCAGTTTTGAGTAACAAGCCGGGGAGTGTAGCTTTGGTCAAAAGCACCCAATAGGCGCATCTTGAGTGTCCAGTGGCTTGTGGGTATGGTCTGGCTGGCTTGTGGGTATGGTTTTGCCCTTCCGGCAACCACAAAAACAAGGCGTGCAGTTCCGGAACCCAAAGACCAACCCCGCCTTGATAAAGTGATCGACGCATATTTTGACCGTGACTCATGAGCCAGCGTCAATATTTGCTGTGTGGGCTGTATTCATTCTACTTTAAACGAGTCCCCTATGGTTCTCCGCGTTTCGCGCGTGGGTGCAGTGCCCGAAGAACCCTCTGTTCGGGCCTCGCGAGCGCGCAAAGCGCCCAATGAACCCTCTGCGAGGATTGCGCGTGTCAAAGCGCCCTCCCTGCGACGCCGTGCGGATTTGGAAAGTGCCCGGCAAACCCTGGAGCTCGGGCTCTTCTCCAAAGCCTTCTGGATCACAGATCTGCTCGGGCAAGTCAGGCCTTCCCATCCTCCTGCAGCAGCAGATCTCTGAGGAGCAAGCGCAAGCCCGCCAAGGCGTCCGCGGCCTGGCCCGTTGCGGGCCCTTTGTGTGCGCGGAAGGATGTGCGCTGAAGGAGCTGCGCGTGTGGTTGAAAAAGCAAACGCACTAGGTAGGCCTCACATTGGCTGCTCCGGGACGTTCTCGGAGTATCGATGGGGTGTCGTTTTGGGTGTCGTTCTGGACGCGTGTAGTGTCACGAAAAAAACAAACTTGCTATAAGCTAGAGCCAAGCCAGCGCACAAGAGCCTTCTCTACCTTGCGGTAGTCATGTGTAGACTATGCTTCTGGCTCCCAAGCATTGGCGGCTTTGCTTGCTGGCTGCAACTTCCAGGTCGCAAGTCGCAACTTTCAGTACCAGCGCAGTACGCAAGTTACACTTTGGCAGCTCCAGCTCGAAGGTCGCAGCGTGCGCCGGTGCCTGCGGGCGCCTGCGCGTGTGCGTGTGCGCGGGTGCGTTAGCGATCCATCTGGGTGGGGCAAAAAAAGGCTCACACAGTGCAAAATAGAAGCGCGAAGCGCCAGTTGCACGTCATGTGGCGTTATTGTTTTTGGGGCTTCGCTATATCGTTCCTGAGGAAAAAATACAAAACAAGCAACGCGAAATCGCCGAAGACATATTATATGACGAGAGAGTTTAGCCTTTTGCTCGTTCATTTAGTGTAAGATGGATAGATGGATGGATGAAAGAATGAATGGGTAGATGGATGGATGAAGCGATCAGGGGCGCGCGGCCGTACGATACGGCACCTCCTTGAAGGCTTCTTCGGCGGCATGGCGGGCCGCGTAAGAAGCGTAGCTACTGTGCATGTGGACTTGGTGGCAAATTGCTCCGCTGTGTCTGGAACACGTCTGGAACGGGTCTGGAACGGGGTCTGGAACGGTTACGCGAGTGGCTTGCACTTGGTAGCAAGCTGCATGTAAACATGGTCGTTTCAACAATGTGACGACCGAGAGCGGTATCGAACCGTTACCGTATCGTATCGAACAGATTGCGGCGGGGTTGACCCTTAACATTCACAGGCCGTTCCAAAAACACATCTGTCAACAGGACCGCTGCTTAATTCCATCCAAGTCCCAATGATTACAAGCCACGCAGCCCCGACCACCAAAGCTCGACAAGCAAACCCCATCGTTAGCACCTCAGGCTTTTCTCGAACACCAGCCTTAACGCGTAGCATTTGGCAAAACAAAGGGGGGAGTCAACAACCTACCAAATCACCTTACCGTAAATACTCTAAACTAGACATAAAGAGATAAACAAGGTCTGGAACGGAAGGTCTGGATCATGTTTCTAGGCAAGGTCTGGAACGGAGGTCTGGAACGGAGGTCTGGATCGCATGTGGGTTCCGGACCCTGTTCCGGACCTTATAAATTGACTCGCAGCCATATGGCACAGATTCAGAGGACGACGCCAGCCTGCAGCATGACGCAAGCTGCAGCCGCCAAGGCCTCCTCCTGAACAAGAATGAATCCCAGGTTCAAGCTGCATCATGGAGGTTATAGATATATAGATACATACCTATATACATGCATATATGGCTGTGGGTCAAAACCAATGAGATCCCATTTTGGGGTAGGTGAATTCACCACCCATTTTAGGTTACCTATTTTAGTGGTTGGATTGAATCGGATGTTCGGTGGGGGTCCGATTCGGATTTTGACCCACAGCCATATGTATATACATGGTTGGTCCAAAATCGGTACCCAAAATGGTACCTTAGAAAAACACGAACCGATTGAATCCTGCGTCATGGCTCTACATGTTGTCTCAATCTAGGGGTACCCCAATGGTGGGTCTCCTTTTGGCTTCCCTTTTTCCACCAACTGAAAGCCAGGTCTCCCAAACACACACCCATCCTGCGCTACAAGGTTGTGCTGGTATATAAGAGGTTTCGATTCCAATTTGAACCTGGCACTTGCAGCTGACAGGTGACATCCGACATCCCGAACTTCCCGAGGCCCGAGCCGGAACGGAAAAAAACGCGACCGCAACCGCGGTAAAGGCTCTTGTCACCATTCCTTGTCACCACATCTTTCAGCTGGACAAAGAACAGTGCTCTATAAACTGGGTCCGTTAGAGTGACATCAACATGACCATCTCTTGGCTCAAATTCTTGGGGGTGGTTTGCTCTCGGTCTTCCCGGATCGGGAAAGCAGTCCCTCCAAGCCACCATTTGTGTGTGTGTCTGAACATAGGGCAACCAAGGGGGGTTCCCTAAAAAAAAGAAACACCCATTTCATGCGTAGTCGTTTGGAGGATGTCACTTTAATGCCAAAGACCCCTCCCGCGACATGTTCGGCTGGTAAGTGCGCAAGCACCCCGATTCATCAAGGGCCTCCCCAGCATGGTTGTGGCAAACAACGCTTTCTATGACTAAGTCCTCCGGTAGAGAGGATAGAATAAGGGTACCAACTTGTTTTTTCTGTGTTCTATTTCAGTAGGGGAACCCTCCCAACCAAAAAAGAAACGGTAAACAAGGGCACCAATTGCTGGGGACCTAGATGATACAAACATTGCAGCTCTTCATCTACCCTGACGGAAATTTTCCCTCACCGAAACTGGCTGCAAGACCAAAACCACAATCCGAACGCTGCAACTTAGGGAAGCCTCCGAGGGCGCGCCTCGGTGACTTCTCGACCTTCCTCCTGCGGAGCAGAGCATCCCACAGAAAACTGACTTAGCCGCAGCTTCCGTTCGATTCCTGGGGCCCCAGGCAATACCAGATTGACTTATTCATAGTTGACTTATCCTATGTCCTCCAGTAGAGAGGTTAGAATAAGGGTACCAACTCTTTTTCGGTGGTCTATTATAGTAGGGGAACCCAAGCAAAAAAGAACATATAAAAGTTGGCACCTAGCTGGGGGACCTAGTATCCCGTCTGGTTTGATCCAGTCCGTCCACTGTACCACCTAACAGCACTCTTCAATCACACCTCCAGTTGTCCAGGTGTTTTTCGCACTGCGGCGCGGTGTGTCCTGTTGGTGTGACACCCCAAAGGCGTCTACAAAGTTTTGGGTCACTCGGTAAGACTTGCGGCATGTGCAGAGCTCGAGAGGGGCGGACCGAAGATCAGCCAAAACAGCAAGCTGCTGTTGGGCATAACACCAGATAACAGAAATCTGGGTGGACGCATTTGTTTACAAGTTCCTGTAGTCTCAAAACAAAAAGGTGGTTGAACAACGTTTGGCTCAAGTATCATTTCCCTTGTGCCCCAGGTTTTATGGAATTGGATGAGCCTTTCTGGGAGATTGATGCGCCCCTCCATGTTTCTTGACCCAACTCGGCACAAAAACAGACTTGCAGTGTTTGTCTCATTCTCATGGCAAAACTAAAAATCAAACAACTTTTCTGAGATCCCGATTTTCTCAAACCCCCAGTAGCCATGGGACAAAAACATGGCCCTTATTCGTTGTTTAAAAGGAAACCTCCCTAGAAGAAAAAGAAACAAAGAGAGGCATCCCTAAACCTGGCCATATTTTTTTTGGCTTTCCTAGGTCCTCCAGTAGATAGGTTAGAATAAGGGTACCAACTTGTTTTTTCTGCAGTCTATTTTAGTAGGTTTGAACCCTCCCCAAACAAAAACCGGTACAAGGGCTGCTCGGCTGGCCCCGAAGCCGAAGTCGAGGCCCGGCGTCCTCGTCCCACTCCGACCACGCGGCGGCCGCTGCTTTGGCCTGACACGGCACGCGCTTGACAGAGGTGGGCCGGCCGGGGGTGAGACGTTTTGGTGTCTTACAATGGGGATCCTTACATTATACACCTAAGCATTGCCACTTGTTAATGGTGGTTTCCCTTTATTTTGGTATTGAACAAGCCATGTTTCAAATGGGCAAAGTGTATCTTTTAAGGAGCCTTGTTACACTAGGGGGGTGTCTTGAAATGTGGGTGTCTTAATATGTTGAGACGTGCAAATGTGGATGTAATAAACAATCGGGGGATCCCCAAAAATGGTGGTTTTGCCTTCTTGCTTCCCTTGACACCATCCCAAGAAGGGTACACTCGAAAAACACGTGCATGTCATGATTCTATCTATTCTATGTTCACAGCAAACAGATACTTATGATTTATAGAACCTAGGTAAATCAGACACCATTCTTTCTAGAAACCACCTGACTTCTCGGGGGGGCTGAAAAGCCTTTCTTTCTTGAAAGAAGGGGCGCTGAACAGCGACCCTGAAAAGGCTTGGCTGGAACTAGGACCCCATCAAAAAATATATGTTTTTTGCCTGGTTAGTGGAAAACAAAGGGGATCCCAACAAAGCAAACAAATAAAAAGGGGAACTATTTCTGGGGAAGAAAGGAGGACTCACTACGGTACTCAGAATTCAAGGGAAATCCTGACAAGCTTGTGGGGCATGCCCCACATTCGTGGGCATTGGCGGATCGACAAACCCATCCTACTAATAGATAGGGCAGCTTACCCCTGCAATAGTGATGAATCCCCACTAAACCAGGACGCCGACTTTTTTCATCCACTGGGGTTTAATCATCCGGGGTTCCCATTGCCACTAGGTCCTCCAGTCCCTTTTTTCTGTAGTCTATTTTAGTAGGGGAACCCTCCCTCCTAAAAAGGGCACTACGGGAGGGACCTAGGCCAATTTTTTGGACGGGAAGGCCGACTGCTTTTCACACCTCGCCGCCAATTCCTGCGGTTCCAGGCCAGTCATGGACCAAAAATGAGAACTCCACGTCCCTGCGCAGAGCCCTGGTTCTGCCACAGCCGCACTGAGCTTTGCAAAAAAAAAGCCAAGGCAGCTGTGGCCCAATGGTCTTGGGCCAGTACCATGAGGGCAATGAAGCATAGCTCTTAACTTGGCGACCAAATCCAGAATCTGGGATACTCCGAGAATAAGCTGTTCAGATGGTGTTGCGTATTTACGGGACTTAAGTCAATAACATACAATGGCTTCGGAGGAGACTCCATTGGCAAGCCCAGGGAAATCAATCCGCAACTCACCTTGGCTTTTCGGACGCTTCAAACGGCATCGGTTGCTGGGTTCTTCCGAGATTTGTCAGTTTGTTTCTTCCCCCAACAGCTGAAAGCTTTGGGGCCTCAGCCCAGATAGGCTCCGGGGTGGTCCGGGGCGGCGTTCCACCAGGGTTCCACCGGGGTTCCACGAGGTTCTGCGAGGGCTGCGGGGTGGTGCGTGCTGTTGGGGATATCACCTGCGTGTTTTTGTTCTTCTTTTTTTTTCTTTTTCGTGTGGATGCTATACTTCACTTGAGTCGTTGTCGAAGTTGGTAAGCACTTACACCTGGGAAAGTAGATGGCACAATTCCCTTTTGTCGGCAACTAACGGGATGGCTTACATAAATTCCCCGACGTGAATTAAGCTCACTTTCCAAGTGCATTGGCCAAACAAAGTCCACACTGCTCCACTACCACCAAGATGGTCGAAACCCAAAAAGATCTAAAATCACAAACTCAGGCAGTGAGCTTAGGGAGTGAGTAAAGGTGCCCCTAGTAAGGGACTTTCATCACCGCTCCCAAGATTGACTTCAGCCCTAGTCATTGGGCCCCTCATTTGACGGGTAGCATCCCACCTCATTTGACGGGTAGCATCCCAATTCTTTCCAGGTATCCTTATTTCCAGAACACCACCAGAAACCAACAGAAACGCTTAGCGGTGAATAAGAAGGATTGAACATAATGTGGGCATTCCACCCAATTAATCTTGGCAGTCCCAGGATCCTCTGCTCAAAGTTTAACAGTTGAACTTGCGACATAAATACCCAACCACTACTAAAACGCGAGCCTAAGGCCACCAAACGGGTTTCAAACCCCGACTGAACCAAAGCGAAAAACCCCAGGAACCGGATGGCCAGAACCAAGTGCTACGCACCGATGCTTCGATCCGCCTCCAGAGTCGCGCGGGTCGCGTTGTTCACATCCGCGTCCCGCAGAAAAGCTCGACCCGGCCTGGCAAGCGCCAGGACTGAAGAAACATGTTGGTCTCGTTTTTGCGTTGGGGCTACAATTGGCAGCCCCTTTTTCCCCCACTCGGTTTGCTTTGCGACCCACCCACCCCTCCCCGTTTTTGGCCTCGTGGGGTTGACCATCCATAGGGCCTGCTCTACCGACAGGGATTCTCAACAAAACTCACCTCCCATCGAGATGGGAGGAAACAACTTGTTGGTGCGATAGGCAGGGAGTGAGACGTGGAATGACCCCGGACAAAACAATCCCTGATGGTTTCCTTTAAGGGGATCCCTGGGTTCATTCCCAAACTCCTGTTCATTCCCTACTGAGAACCAGCAAACAAAGGCTGATGAACCTTAACGTTCGCTAAAATGGGGTGTTGTTCCATCTCTGGGTCAGTGTTCATCTATCCGCATGTTCACCGCATATGGGGTCACTGATCGGCTACGTCTTGAAGTGCCCTGAAACGCATCGAAGAAGCAGTGCAAAAAATTGACTCGCCACCAGAAATCATCGAAATACTCGTTGAAACCTTCCATGTGGGTGTGTGTTATTTCAGGGACCCTCCTTCCTGGTGGTTTTCCTTTTGGTTCCCCTTTTTTTGGCCACAAAACAAAAAGGGTAGCCCTCAAAAGAAGACACACCCATAAGGCCACTCCATTGACCTGTTCCGGAGTGCGGCTCGATTTCAGGTTGGCCGTATGGCCTGGTGTAACATTCTGAAAGCTTCAAAATCATTGACCCGCAGACTTCTGCAAGTCTCTGAGTCGCCGTGCCTCCCCCTCTTACGGTGAATCCAACGAAATGCCGAGAAAACACCCAATCGCCGAGTTCAAACAGCTTCCAATATGTTTCAAGTAAGATTTTCAGCGCGTAGAAGCGCTGCAATCTTGCTCACAGACCCGCCTACCAGGGTGGGTCCAGACATTTGGCCGATTCCAGGTCTGAAGAAAGACTGCCGAACACCGCGTTGCGCCTGCTGCGCTCACTGCGCCTGCGACAGTGAGCGAAGTGCCCCTGCTGCGGTTGGTATGCCGCAGGTGGTTTTTTGTGGGGTGGCCGAAGAATCTTGCGGCCTCAACGGAAACTCCCGCCACACCCTCTAGGTCCTCCAGTAGAGAGGTTAGAATAAGGGTGCCCTTTTGGATTCTGGTTTGTCTATTTTTGTAGGTTTCAACCCTTCCCCCCAAAAAAAGAAACGGTAAAAGTGAGGGCACCAATTGCTGGGGAACCTAGCCCTAAAAACCAAAGAACAAAAACTAAGGAACCGGATGGCTGGGAAGCTCTAAGTCCAAAAAGGCCTTTGTTTGAGGTCCAAAACCTGCCGAAGATCCGAACCCCGCCATCGGGTCAATGATGCACTGTGGCTTTAAAATGGCTTTAAAGGATGGCTCACCGGGTCCAATGATGCTTAATGGGTTTCGGGCCGATGGAGCCACACTGCTACCCGGGAAATTCCTCTGTGCAACCACAAATTGGAAGAGGGAACAGTTTATATGGTTGATTTGAACATCAGGATATAAACTGTGCCACTTGGATCCAGGTCAATGGACTTGGATCCACTTGGATATATCCTGACTTGGATCCAGATGGTCCACTTGACCAGGATCTCCTTTCTTTGGGTGCTGATTCTAGGCGCTTGTTTTGATTTGCCAGCCGAAGCAAGGAGCTGAGCACTTTGAAGGTGGGCCTGAGAAGTCGCTTAAAATAGATCAGGAAGGAGCTGGGCCTGAGAAGTGGCGGTTCACTTTGATCACTTGGCCTCTAGAAAATCGCCACCCGAGCTGTTTCTCAGAAGAGTCGAATGGTGAGAAGCCCAACGGCCTGGCCAGTTGGCCATGGGCTTTTCAAAATCCAAATCGGACCACCAGTGAACATCCTATTCAATCCAACCACTAAAATAGGTGCTAAAATGGGTGTGAATTCACCTACCAACCAAAATGGTGCCATTGGTTTTGACCCACAGCCATTTAGAAAAGCTGTTCATCCCTCACCCCAAACCATGGGGGGCCCAAGGGCCCAAGGCTTCACCTTCTGACGACCTGGACATCGAGTTGAAAAACCCCCCAGCTGAGGGCTGCACCAAATCAGCAATTAAAACCCTGGTGCCCAAGCTAGAGGGGGTGATCAAAAGGTTCGATGAACACGGAATGACCATTGGTTGGGAATCCACGAAACATCTTTCAAGCACATGGGGAAAAAGTTCTCCGTCAAAACTGGGGGCCTTTCAAATTGATCAACCAACGTATCCGAACAAGCAACGTCGAGAAAAACCAACGCACAACACAGCTCGAACCCGCTGAGTTCATGGAACGGACAAAGCTGGCGGTTGCCTTTGCCGAAATTCTGGCCGGAAAGCTGCACGCCAAAAAAAGTTCGCTCCGAAACCCCCGCAAAAATACAAAAAAACACTGTGACTTGGACCCAGTTTCAGCTGCATACTCCAAAAAGGTTGCCCGCAGAAGTTGTGGTGTCCCTGGAAAAACCACTCCAAAAAGGCTGCCCGGGCAAATTGCGGGCTCCGGTTTCGGTGGCGGTTGTCTTTGTGCCGTTGGAGAAATTTGAAGTTGGTCTTCAAACAGTAAAGTGTTGAGCAACCGAAACAAATGTGTCACAAGGTTGAGGCACTTTATCAATCATGTCCAGGCGCTCCATTTGTGGAAGGTGTTGAACGCCTGCTTTCCCCAGAAGGAAGCCCACTGTGCACTTCCATGATTGATGGCAAAAGGGTGTGAGGTGCTATGAGAGTGGAAGGAAGGGTATACATTGGTCGTGAAGCGTGTCTCAGGAGATGTCACGTTCTGTGTGCTGCTCTGCCGGACTGCCCCATGCAGAGTTTGAACCGTTTGAGGTAAGGGGGGTGATCAGTATTCCCCTTACAGCCCCCAGTTTATGGGTAACTTTCTACTCTGGCATCCCCGTGCAGAAGTTGAAACGTTAAAGAGCAAAGACATGGGTTGTTGAACGCAAGCCTTTGGTGGTCGGATTCGCGTGGGAAGCGTTTCACCCGGCACCTCCAGCACACGGTGAAGTGCTCCTGCGAGTGGGAAGACAAGCATGGAAAAATACAGATGGGCAAATGACTCTTACTCCACGAAAAGCAAACAACACACACAAAAAGCAAACAAACAAATGAATGGACCCACAAAGGCCTAAGTAAATTGTGGAACAGTTAAAAGAGCAGTGAAGAAAAAGACCGGCACCACAACCAAAAGGGCAAAACCCGATGCAAACTTCTTGACACAGGCCTCCCTGCATTCCTCCTTAAGGGTCAGCAGGTAAGGTTTCAACTGCCTGATATAGGTACCCAGACCCCTAGTGGCCATGGGCAACAAAGTAGCACTCTGGTTTTTGGTCGTTGATTTTAAAGGGAAACATGGGGGCGGCTCGGCTCTCTTTCAGGCTCGGTACCCCTGTTTGGTTGGTTTGAAAGGACCAAAACTAGGTCCTCCAGTAGAGAGGTTGGAATAAGGGTACCCTTTTTTCTGTAGTCTATTTTAGTAGGGGAACCCTCCCCCAAAAAAGGGGAAAAGGGCACTACTAGGGGACCTAGACACTCTTAGGGGGTCCCCTAAAAAAGGACACACCCATCCAAACCAAGGAAAACAGGACGCAACCCACCGAGCCACTGGGGGCAACCCCAAAGAAGACGGGGGGAAGAAGCGACGGGACCGTCTCCTTCGCCGCAGTGCTGTCATAGCCAAAGGAGTTGTCCCACATCTTGAAGCGAATCACCTGCCGGATGCGAAGCCGGGGTTCAACATGCCAAATAGCTCCCCTGGCAAAAGAACACGGCAAAGACCACAACAAAACTGACGGTATTTAAAGTACACTTGGGTGCTTTCCAGTGGCTTGTACAAACAGTTTAAATGGTTGGGCAAACCTCCAGATTCAAAGACAGGAAGTCAAGATAGGAAGTGTATAGAAGCGTGGGCAAGTGGAATCCCTTGGGGAAATAGCAACTTCTGTGATATCACCTCAGGTTGGGAAATTTGATCCACAAACATGAATGGGGGTTCTTCCTCACAAAAAATGGAGTCACGCACAGCCGGTGGCTGTTAAAAAATCGACAAATTGCCCATTTCCCCCCCCTCCAGTCTCCCGAAAAGCCCTGCCAAGGCCCGAACATGCAAAATGCCAAGCGGATCAAAACAGAACGGCCAGAATCAGTATCCAAAATCCGCGGAAACAAGGTGGTCTTTATGCCAGCTTTCGTGGAAAAATGATCGACCCCCTCGTAGTGAAGGATTCCTTTTTGAGGGGGTCGCCCATTTTCTCACAAAAGGTGGCAAAAAGACCCCCCCCCCCTGCGCGGAAAAGCAATTCTTCACCTTTTCAAAAGACTCAAGGCAAACTTCCAAGGGTTGCTTTCAACCTATTTTAAAAAATGACTTGGTGCAAGGAAATCACAATGGCGCAGTTCGGCGTCATTGCAACTCATTCCTATCAAACCGCATTTGAGGACTTGTGTTTTCTTTGTAGGATACCTTTTCTGGGTTGTTTCACAGGAAAACAACATGAACACCACATTTTTGTGGCTTCCCCCCCCCCGCCGATTTTATTGATTTGTGACTCCCCGCCCCCCATTTTGACACACACTTGTGGTACCCCCCAGAGGAAGTAGTCAATGTGATGGCGTCATCTCTTCCGTCTTGCAGAGACCTCTGACATATTCGAATGCACACGCCTGTAGCATGTCGCCCAAACACCCAGCACGCCCCTCGCGAGCCGCCTGCAGGCGGGGGCAATGCTCCGCCAGCTCCGCGAAGCCGTGGGACTGCAGCTGCGCGGCGAAGCGCACCTCAGGACTCTCGCTCTCCCGGCGAGGCGCCTCTCCGCAGCCGCCCCCCGTCAGCCGGCGGGGTGTGGTGGAAATGGAGCCACTGCTGTGAAGAATTGGAATGAACCCGACAGAAACCAGCCAACCGTGGTGTCCTTCATTGAATCCCAACACCTACTGAGCAGCAAAACAAGCCAGCCACACAGAGTCCGTGCGGGTAAACTGCTTTTGAGTAAGTTGCTATGCTTTTCAAGATCGCCACTCTTTAGGTCGTTGTCCACCCAACGAAAAAAAGAGAGCTTACCCACTCAAGGATAGCTCATATACCCACTCCAAAACCCACTCCAAAAGGACTCAAAGGAGTTTGCACCCTCAACGCCACTGGAGGCCTAGGTGTGTTTTTGAGGGGCCGTCCCCGCAACACTCCGCGCCCCCCCCCCCCCAATGGTTCAGGATTACGCCGAATGAAGTACGGCCAGGCATGATATACGCTCAGACCTCCAGATGTGGGAACGGTGTGGAAGACACCCAACCATTGCTTGGCCATGTGTCGCTCGTCCCTTTGAGGAATCGCACACCCCTTGAAAATTTGGCGTTTGAGTTGCTTCTGGTTTTCCTTGAAACGCCACCAAAAGAGGGTGTAATTGTAAAACAACTTCCACCAAAAGAGGTAGCAAACAGCTCATGGACCCTTTGGGGAGGTGAGCCTTTGGGTACAAAGAACAAACTATAGATTTTCTGACTCTGTGCTGTTGAGGGGAACCCGCAAATTTAACCTACCCGAAAATCAACATCATTTTGGAGACCCCCAGATTCTAGTGGCGGATTTCCATTCTGTTCGCTCCTTCGTTTCGTTTGCACTGAATCCGTTTCCCGTAGTGGATACGACTTGCGTCCGAAAGCTCAGAGTGGTTGAAAGCTCCACCTATGTCCTCCAGAAAGGAAATCCATGGACTGGGCCAATTAGAGTATTAGAGGCTATCTGTGTGTGTGTGTGTGTTGTGCTTCGGGTTTGTTTTTGTGTGTGCTGTTGGTGTTGGTGTTTGCGTTTGCGTTTGTGTCTGTTTTTGTGTGGGTTTTGAAAGGATACCATGTTCAGCTTGGTTAATTGGGAAACCACAAGGCAAACCACGATTGGGTCTCCCACTTTCGGCGCCCCACTTTGCTAATGAAACTATACAGTTGTGTGTTGCTTTGGGTTGATGAAACCACGCGCGGAATTTTGCGGTTTTTAGGCCACATGCCTTGCCAAAGCCTGGGGGGCCATGCATTACCTCCTGAGCCTTATTTCGGACAGGGGGTGTTTCCCGGATAAACCACGACTAGGGCCCCGAGAAACAATGCCTCAAGGTGGATCTTGTACTCCAGCAGCGCATCTTTTAAGAGGCCAATCTGGGACCCAGAACTTGGGTTGACTCAGCGTATTCCGCCCACATCTTGCAAAGGAACCAGTTGGAAACTCAGTGACTTGCCACACATACCACGGTTTAATCAAGGGAACAAAAACACGTGCTTCATATTCCTGTTGGATGGATAACCCAGAGCCTCGCGGGCTCCCGTCTCTTCTCAGGTCCGACTGTCTAAGCCCGGTGAACGTGGGCACAAGAATCCAACGCGCAAGTGCTAGCAAAACACAAGCCGCCAACAATGTCACAAGTAAACACAAAAAAGAAAACGAGCAAACACACATGGGTTGATCTTTTACCGCATGCCACATGTCCACCTTTTCTTAGTTGGTGGGGGAAACCGTCCTTTGCCAAGGCTAGAAGGCTAGAAGGAGCACGCAAAACCCACAGAGCCAAACATACCTCTGGCACGCATGCATCACGCAAACGGGTGGTATTCAAATGGGCGCCTTTGTATGTATGGATTCAGGCACACACACACAAACAAACAAACACGCCCGGGCTGTCAACCGGACTGAGTTGCCGGCCGCATCACGGTAAATGCGAGTGCTTGTATTCACCTGAGAAGTGTTGAAGAGACTCGAATCCCCCGAAAGAAAATCCAAGGCGTCAAAAAAGGGGAACCGCAAAATGGTGGCCTTCTTCTTGGTTTCTGTTTGGACCAACCTGAACGGATCATTACCCTCAAAACATACACCCATCCCAACTGCCTAAGACTGCTCTGGAAGACTTCATGCGAAACAGCCAAGTGGCGCAGACCTGTTTTTTCGGTGTGAGCTGACACCAAACCAATGGTTTAGAAAGGCCATGCATACGAATACAATTGAACACGCACTGCGGAAGCCTGATGCCCTACAAATATCGGTGGGAGGCGTCGGAAAGTCAAACTCACTTCTCCGGTCAGAAAAAAAAACACAAGTCTCTTGTGTACCACTAGGATCACTTCCTGAGCGGATTGGCAACAAAAAGTATGAACTTTGTATTTACCACCAAAATGATCTTCCCGATTCTTCCCGAGCATAAAGCTCAGGAACTCAGGAAGCGAGGTCCAACATCACCGTCGTGCTTGGTGGAGGAAGGAGGATTTTCGAGAAGCCCACGTTCGCCCCAAGTTCGGTTGGTTCATACTGTGGATGGACGAAATTCTGGGTATTTACAGGGGAATCAACATTCCAGGATTTCTTAGGTGGTGCGAAATGGATTTCGTCCATCCACAGTAGGACCGAGCGGTCGTCTGAAACCCTCGGCTTCGGCGCTTCGGCGCTTCGGCTCGGCCCGGGCCGCTGGCCAGGATCTCCTCCTCCTCCCCAGGCTCAGAGTCCACCAGCACCTCGGGGGCCGGGGGGACCGGGCGAGAGAGAGGCCCCTGTTGAAGACGACCCCAGTGTTCTGCTGGTGGACAGGTCGCTCAGCGGCAACACCCTGGTTCAAAACTGCCAAGAACGGCTCGGAACCAGGACGGAGGAAGGGCTTGGCTGAATAATGCTAGGTCCTCCAGTAGCGAGGTTAGAATAAGGGTACCAACTTGTTTCTGTAGTCTACTTTAGTAGGGGAACCCTCCCAACCAAAAAAGAACGGTAAAAGGGCACCTGGCTGGGGGACCTAGCCTAGTAGAGTGGCTTGCCTGGAAGCACTGGGGGTAACCAACAAATCTCCAAAGGGTGGTGCAGGTGAGGACATCAAAACCGATCGGTATTAAAATGGTCAGGACCTAGAATGTCAATCGATAAATCGAACATGAAACGTCTCTGGCCATGGAATTGGGCACATGGCGGGGATATCATCCCCATGTAGAGAAACTGAAGCCACGACATTACACCATCCCCCAACCAGCGGCCGAAGCTTACGGGAACCCTGCAAATTCTAGTTGTCCCGTTGGCCTCCCTCCAAAACCAGAAAAAAAACACCGGGTACCAACTCCAAAAAAAAACAGAGACACGCCCATATGCGACTTGGGAATTCGATCTGCCTCCGGAAATCTAAGGCTGGAGCTCGAGTCCGCAAGCATCGCTTGGAGCACAGAAGGGGACTAACTCAGACCGGATTCGAGGGACTTGCCGCTTCGGCAAATGTCATCACTTTTGGGAAATGCAGGACACCCAAAAGGGCACAAGGACCAAAAAAAGTGTTGCGCTAAGTCCTCAAGTCCGAGGACAAGTGGATTGGCCAAAAGAAGGCTGAACTTGCGACGTACAATCAATTGAAATGGTCGAAACCTCTAAAAGTGACTAAAGTCCAGGAACTCAGGGAGTCAGAGTCTGCCATTTGTAAAAAGCATATATGATAGATTCCCCCTAGAACCAACAGGGGATAATAGGAGCGGTTGGCGGGTTTGGCGCCCTGAGCCACCTGCAATCCCGTACTTCTCTTTGGGCCCGAGCGAGCCGACCTGAGACCCCCCGCTCTCGCTGCGTTGAGGGCGATGTCCTGGGAATACACGAAGGTCAGCTCCTGCAACGCGGGCTCCGGGCTCCGCGGGAGAGCCAAACCGAAGAAAGCGAACGCCAAGTGAGTCGTAGTCGAAACTTCGAGTATACTGCCGAAGCACTGGGAAGCGCTGGGGGTACCCTCCCACCAACTAACATGGAAGTGCAAAAAGTCGCTTTTCAAGAGGAAAGTAGTCTTTCTACAGGGGTCTGTGCACTTCCATGTTCGCTGGTGGGCGGGTAACCAAGAAATGTCCTTTTGGGTTTAAAGGGTGGTGCAGGTGAGTCATCAGAACCGATCGGTATTAAAATGGTCGGGACCCAGAACCATGCTTCAAGAATCACACAGGCTGTGAATGCACATGTTTTGGCGGATTTATCCCTGACTAACCTTCATCTACCTGGGTGTTGATTGTGGCTCAAGCGACACCTACTTCAACCCCGCATCCCGCGCTTAGATGGTCGACGGATTGCTAGGTGAGTCCTGGTGCTGCGGGTTTCAACCATCTAAGCAAGTCTCCGTTGGAGGGGGTTCTGCGTTGGAGGAGTCGTGACCCGTAAAAAAGTGACTTTAAACCCGAAGCATAAAATTAAATTTGCCCCAGGCGAGCTCTGTAAGAAGGCTCACCGTTCTGGATGCCAACACACAGACAGACAGACAAACAGAAAGACAGTCCAACAGACAGACAGACCAAACCGAACCGAACCGAACCGAACCGAGCCAAGCCAAACCGAACCGACCGACAAAAAAAAAACACACACACACACACAAACAGAAGAACGAACGAATGAGCGAACAAACAAAGAAAGAAACGACCCCCACCAAACCAAACCAAACCACACAAAACAAAGCAAAACCACACCAAACCAAAACAACCAACCAACAAACAAAGACATCTCAACCAACACACCAAAACAAGCAAACCGCACAAACACGCCCAGACACAAATAAAACAACACAAGCACAACACACAGACCACACCAAACACAAAACACAAAACACACACAAGACACGCAAAAACCAAAACACACACACACACAAGACGCGCAAAAACAACCGCAAGCAAACGGCGCCAGCTTGAGCTCCCGAGTAGCTTGGCAGGCAAGCCGAGTAGCTTGGACCACATCTTCCGGCAAGAGGCCAAGCGCTGGACGCTGCCCCGCGAAGTCCCACTGAGGCGCTCCGGGGAGCGCCCCCCTTGCAGCTTGGCTGCGTGACTTCGACGCCCCGGGCAGCTGTCAGGCGGCTAGCGCCCCCTTGCAGCTTGGAGGCTGCGCGTGACTTCGGGCGGCTGTTGCCCAGGTATGCCATGGCCGAAGCGAGCTGGCCCTAGTGGGAGGAGAGGAGGCGCAACAAACAAAACAACAAACAAACACGCAAGCAATCCCTGGTCCTCCAGCAGAGAGGTTAGAATAAGGGTATATTGTTCTTCGGTAATCTGTTTTAGTAGGGGAACCCTCCCCCCCAACAAGGGTAGGGCAATAGTCGGGACCTAGATAACAAGCATGCAAGCAAGCCCCAACACACGCCCAAAACCAAATCAAGCCAAGCCCAAACTAACAAGACGCAAACCTTCCAAATACGGTTAAGCTGCAAGTTGAGCTTTGTGTAAAAACTCGCGTAGCATGGAAACTAAACACGAGTGAGTGTAGAAGCCGCCCGCATGGGCCTTGGGTTTGTGTCCCTGAGTCCAGAAAACAAAATTACAGCATGTACGGGTGTGTCTTTCTTAGACCCGAAACATGGCGGTTTTCCTTTCGGCCAGACACCCCTTTGATTTTGGTTCATGCCCAGTCAGTCTCAAGATAAACAACTAGGTCTGGAGCAGACGCCACCAACCTCTACTATAACCCTCAAAAGAGAGACGTATGTTTCTGGTTCATGTTTAGTCAACCGCAAAATCAACAAATATGTCTGGAGGAAGGAGAAATTGGGTCTATAAACAAATATCCACTCTATGAGGTGTACCAGTCCACGGATCCTGATGCTGTTGCCAGTTGCCATCCCCCCCCTTTCCTATTCCATTTGATCCCGGTAGTAGTATGCATTCCAGAAAGCGTCGGGGGGGGGGGTCCCATTTCTGGGAGGAAGGTGACCATGGAGGAAAAAAACCATGCCGTGTGTGGGTCGTTGACTTTCAGCGAAACCCCTCTCCCCCCCCAAAGAAAAAAAGAAAAAGAAATCGAAACAAGGGCGAGCAGTTGCCACATGGGAAAAAAGGGGCCACCTATTTCTTGCCTGTTTTTGTTGATTTTGTTGAGGGAAAGCTCCTCCCCCCCACCCAAAAAAAGCATGGAGAAAACCCCGAGAATCGCGGTATCATCGACCCATCGTGCCTCCAAAAGGGGGCAGAGGTCCCCAAAGTGCTGCCAGGCCTCAATGGTGCTCTCTCGGAAAGCGGCTGCTTTGGTCGGGCGACAATGCGTCCACAACAGTGACTGGATTCTTCTACATTCCTGTACATTGACAGTAATTGTTGTGTACTACACAGTTTCGTTGGGCCAAAGCAACCAATTTACAACGTGTGTGTGTGTGTGTGTTTTTCGGCTTCTTGAACCGCCTGGCCCTTTGCATTTTTTTTACAAGGTCTCACAGTTTTCGTGTTGTTGTCTCTTTTGCTGCTTGGGTTTTTGCGAGTAAGGTCCAAGTGCAGGTCCGTTATGAAAACCTGTTCGAAAGATTCCACCATTCGAGGAAACAAGCGTTACAGTCTGACAAAAACAAACGGAGGAAAACAGTTTTCTGGAAGTAAAATTTCGCTGGCGTCCCTTTGTGCGGTGTTGTCAAAGCACCCAAATTGAAAGGACCAACGCGAGGTAGGAGCGCACATCAGGCTGCCACAGCACCATCTGGATCACAAACTCATGGACCATGCCGTTTGCCATGTGCCACGTATCACTGACACGTGTCGCTGTCCCCATGACCATACCCAGGATGGGTCTGCGAAGTGCGTTTCAGCACCTCGTGCACTTGCTGCCGGCATGGTGGACCTCATGCAGCTACGACCAGCATAGGCCTCGCGCACTTTGCGCCACCCGGGGCATCGAAGCTCGCTGCGATGCGCTTGGCCCCTATGCTTTGGTCAGCTTGATTTCAAGGGAACTAGATCAAGCACAAAACTTGTTTGTGGGAGAAACCAAACGGAGCAAAACCTCATTCAAAACCTCATTGAAGTTGTTTTTTCCTGTTCCTTGTTTTGGGGGGGGGCTGTAGAAAGTATATGAGGTTTCCCACCCTGAGCCTCCATCCAAACCACCAATTCGATCGACCCAGGATCGGACAGGAGACTCGGCTGCTTAGATAGGGTGTTGTTTCAGGGAAAGGAACTCAGTTGATTGGCTCTCAAAAAGTGCTCAAGAAAGAGATGAGATGAGCACGATCCCTTTTCGCAGTGGCAAGGCTTCTCGATGGATCTGTTTCAGGTAGAGCAGCATGGCGCCCTGTCTAAACCGCGAGTCCGTGTCGAAACCCTCGACTTCGATGCCAACTTGTGGACACATGGAGAAGTCACTTCTCCGAATCCAACGCTTCCCAATGTGGAGACCCTGATATGTCTTCTCAAGATAGGGGCCCCATTCTGTTGTCTTCTGTTTAGATGTTTTCAAGAGAAAACCAAAGGATACCAACGAAGCTCCCCAAAAAAAGAGAAACCTCCATCCCGGCGCATTTGCAAGAAGTTCGAGACTTGATTCGAATTGGATTCCCAAATCATAAACCGACATAGTGAGCTCAATTTACCTCCCCGATCAGTGAGATCACCATTAAATAGGCAGACCCAAGCAAAAGTCAACCAACCTGGACCCCCATTTGGTTTGCTCTCGTTTTGGTACCTCTTTAAACCGACCAAACAAGGCACGCTCAAAGAAAAACATCACTCACTCACTCACTCACTCACTCACTGGCTCGCTCGCTCGCTCGCTCGCTCGCACGCACGCACGCACGCACGCACACACGCACGCGCGCACGCGCACACGCACACGCACACGCACACGCACACGCACACGCACACGCACACGCACGCACACACGCATACTCTCCCGTTTGCCTTTTCCTTTCAGCCCTGCCCGGCCAATTCAACTTGGGCTTCGCGCAGGCAGGAGCGGCACGTGCAGCGACAAGCGCTTCACCTTCAGGGCTATCTAGGCTCGCTGACCAGAAATGGGGGGTCATGGGTAAAAAATTCAGTGAGCATCCCAATCCAACCACTAAAATGAATTCATCAATCCCAACCAAAATGGGATCCCAAAACGGTTTTGACAACCACAACCACATGGTGTTCCGGAGTTATTCAGCTTCCTTGCCACTGGTGTCTGGTCTTTCGAAGACAATCTCACGGATCCCGGGCCTGTGAGTCGCCAGGTCATCTGGCGCACATGCCGCGCAAGTTGCCCAAAAAAACGTCGGAACAGCCAAAAGCCTCTGATTTCATGATTTTTTGCACGTCTTTGCGGTTTCGGTTTTGGCGGTTTGTGCTCTCTTTGTCGCTTCCCAAAACCCGAGACTCACCTACCTGAGCGCATTGGCCTGTGTCCCACGAAAATGCTCTTCCCACAAAGTCTTTTAAGTCCAGGGACTCCAGAAAAGGTGGTTGGGGCACCATTTGGGGCGAATTCGGTCGTGTGAGGTCGTTATGATCAGAGCATTTCCATGAAGGGGTCCCTGAAACCAATCGCGCCTGGGATGCCTTTGAGATTTTTTTTGGGGGGGACACTTCCCTTGTTTCGGGGCGTATCCGAGCCTAGCCCTCGTGGACCCCTTTTGAACATGAGAACGTGCTGGGTCCGAATTATTCCAGCAACATGTCCAGGCTTCCCCTCCGAACTTCCCGTTCTAAACATCCCCAAACGCAAATCTTGAGAACTACCCTCTTTACAACAATCATGGAAGTGCACAAAGGGGTTCCCCAAAAGGAAAATAGTCTTCCAAAGCTCTCCTGTCAAGTTCCATGATTGTTGGAGGGAGGGTACCGGGGACAAAACAACCGCCGCCGGCTGCTAGGAATGGCCCATGATACCGGAAGGCCTTCCCAGTGACGAAGGTGTTGCTCTCCCCTTTGGGTCTTTGGTTTGCCGGTATCATCAAAGTGGGAAACCCCTCATTCCCACAACCCTGGAACATGCAACCTCTTTCATAAGCCCTTCGCTAATACGGTTGGAGCCCTGTCAAAAGCTTGAACACCCAAGTGGTGTCCCTTTGGGGCCAATTTGGGGAAAGCGCCCCCTTCTTAGGTGTTCAAGCAACTTAGTAAACTAAGTTACAACCGTGGCTACAACTGGGGCAACTGGGGTTAATCTCCTTATAGCAATGGCGGTGACCTGCCAAGTAGCGTGAACACCCCGACAACGCACTCCGGCCTTTGGCAGCTTCTCGAGGGAAAGGACTGGATCCTCTGCCTGCGGATTGTGCTTAGTTCGCCAACCAAAGCGTGGTCTACGTTGCCATGGAACGCAACGCTTTGAGACCTCAGTAATACCAGTAATACATATTGCATATATATATATATATATGTTGTATACACATGTTTCTTTATTTGGCACCACACCCGCCAGGACATGTTAACATATCCTGATGGAACACAATACTCACTATCCTTGTATAACCTTACTTGGCACTAGCAGGTTCTCCTCCCTGGCAAGCAACCCCATCAGAAGATACTGTGGATGGACAAAATCTACGCAAAGCACCAGTTGGTCGCTTCTCAACCAGTATTCACTCGTATCTTTAACAGGCAGCCAATCCTCCTCAGATATTCCAGGGTTGTTCAGTGGTTCATTTGAGTGCCCACAGAAAAATGGAATCACTGGTCACTGGTCCTGGTACTTACACAAAAGCGTCTTTTCTTTGTGGATACTGTAAACAAAATTGATGGTCGATTTACTCCACCCAACATTCCAGATATCCAAAAAGACCAGAAACAATCCGGAAATGCACCCGAAATCCCCGAAATCCCCAAAATCCAAACAGAACTCCGTAAAAGCAGCACTGGAAATCAGCAGCCCCCCCCAACCCCAACTCCAACACCCAACTCCACCTCCCCTTTTCAGTTCCTCCCCCCTACTCATCAAATTGGCTTATCAACTAGGCTTGTCCAGGGAGAGCCCCCCCCCCCAAGCCCCAAGCCCCCCCCCCCCACCGCCATAGCCCCCCTTGAAGGTCCATGAATGGTGGTGGTTTGGGTCGGTGGATTGCATTCGGATTTGAACCCCTGGCTGTCCCCTGCCCCTTTTTTCCCGCCGAGCCATCCATTCGCCTCGTGGAGAAACTCCGTCCAGAGGTTCAGCTCCAACTCCTCCAGCTGCAAGCCTCGAGCCGAAGAGCGAGCAGCCAGCTGCCAGCCGGAGCCGAGACCCCGTGACTTTTGGTTCGTCATGTTATAAAGATGACCTTTACTTATGAACACTAATTTAAATAAACCTGGTCCAAAGGTGACAAGATGTAAAAAGGCAAACAAAACATCCAAAACATCTTTAGTAGCGCCAAAAAAGAAAAGGCACACAGCCACAACTGAAGCTCAACATGCAAAACATCCAGTAAGGAACATCCAGCAAAGCTCAACGTACAACACATCCAGAAGTAAAAGGTAATGATGCAAAGCATCCACAAGTAAAGGAAAGCAAAACGAAGCATTTGTTGGAGAGGGTACCCTTTTTGTGGTGCTTTAAAGGAAAGCCAAAGGGAAAACCGCCAATTTGTGGGTACCCTGAAAGAAAACACACACACACACACAAAGCTAGCCTGACCAATAGAAATCGGTGTGCGCTCAAATGCTGACTTCCAACCAGTTTGACCCCGGGGCGACAGGGGAAGCCAACAGTCGAGCACTGTTCGTGGATGGAACTCGGAAAGTCGAAGGGTTTTTGTATTACACCCTGGGAATACACCCAGGTAGTGACCCCATGTAGGCACATTTTCGGGATAAAACCCGGTGCGATTTTGAACCATTCGTCATTTATCTCAAGGGTGGAATCCCAGGTGTAATACAAAAAACCCTCAGAGAAACCCAACCACTAAGCCAAAGAAAGGCAACTCTAAACTTCAGGGACCGGACGGTTTGCATCCGATGTTGCGCACCCAAAAGGACGAGTTCAACCGTAGCCCCTCCTTGTTCCGCCCATTCAATCCTCGACTGGTGGTTTTTGTCCAAAACCCAGAGGGAAACAGCAGCTGCCCTCAAAATGGTCGTTTTCAGGGACCTGCATTGGAGGGTCATGAGCCCTAGGCTTTCAAAACAGAAAACCAAGGTTGGACAGAATGGCAACTCTCCCTTGACGAGTTGGCCCTGGCGCCCAGCTAAACAGACCAGCTCCACAGAAAAGCCCAAGCCAAGCCAGACTCTACCAACAAAAACTCGAAGCTCAAAGAGGGCTCTTCAAAACTGGGCTCAAAGTCGATGCTCGGCGAATCCGATGTCCATTTGCCAAAGGTCGAATCTTCGAGTCGCTCATGGACATCTACTGTGGGTGGACGGAATCCTGCACCACTTTGAAACCATGGGACGCCATTGTTTGTTGGCATTTACAGGGGAATCGTCATTCCAGGGTTTCTTAGGTGGTGCGAAATGGATTTTGTCCACCCACAGTATCTCAAACAACTTCCCGTCCGGCTTTTGCGCGGGGAGACCATTCCTCAGGAAGGTCGGTTTCAAGGGAGCCGACGGGTTGCCCGCAGAAGTAGGGCAGTACCCCAACATGGCAAGCCTTTCACGCCAAACATGTCACGCGACATGATCAACAGCTAGGCCCCTCCAACTGGCGACTCATACAAGCACGCAAGCAGAAACACAACACGGCCAGGAAAAAAAAGGGAAGCCAGCCAGCCAACAAGCAAGAAAGAAAGAAAGCAAGCAAGCAAGCAAGAAAGCAAACAGAAGAAACAAAAGCAAAAGCAAAACACATCACACCAAGGCAACACACAGAGAAATTCAAAACATAATCAAACACACAGCGCACGAATACAAGTAAAGAAAACAAAGTAAGTAAGTAAGTAAGTAAGTAAGTAAGTAAGCAAGCACGTAAAGAAAAGTAATACGAATACTTTAACAGCAAGTAAAGCAAGCAAACATATTTTGAGGTTTGGCCACCAGCTCACTCCGCATGGCTCTGGAGCTCTGGGGCGTCGTGCGATTCCTGTTGACCAGCGACAGGATCGCCTGATGAAAAACCCCGAGCCTCCCCGAAACGGACCCAAGCTAATCCCCAAAGTCGAAGACTTCCCCCACTGACCGGGTGACAGGCCAAACCCCAAAGAAGTATGACAGTTAAGCCGCATTTAGAGCTTGTTTGGCCCGTTTCGCCCTAATTTGCCATTGATGCTTGTCTTATCCGAAGGTCTGTCCGAAGGTCTGTCCGAAGGTCTGTTAGCCCCAATTGACCATTGATTTGTGACTTATCCTTGCGGGGTATGTTCCAAGGGTCTGGTGGTACAACCTTTGAAGGGGCGTATACGTATACATCCAACGATTTCTTGGTGACGCGGAAAACTCGAATGAACGACTTGAGCCTGTGGAGCCAATCATTTGGGTATAAGTCACCCGAAAACCACAGGTTTTAGTCTACCTTTCCATTTGCCAGGGTCCCATTTTGGGTACCTATTTTTGACCCACCATTTGCATGGACACCCAAGCTCGCCCTAGGTCCTGGACCCTGGTGGACGTGCGGGAGTCCCGGCCCCAAGGACTCCCCGATTTGCGCCGCACACAACTGGCTGTGGCTCAAAACCCCGAAACCAAAATGGCACCTTGGCAAATGGAACCAAAGAATAATAATTTGCGCAGCCCTAGCTCTTGAAAACTTTGCGCCGCACCCAAATGAGCCTCAAGGAGTTGGATGGAGGGTTTCAAGGCTTGGCGAGTTCCGGGAAACAAGTTCAGAAGTTGCGGAAGATTTGAGCATCAGGTTTGGTGGCTAACATCAAAACCACTTATATGGGAGAAAGACCTGCGCAAACAAGGAACCACCCAACAATTCCAATGCCTGGGCGTTCTAGTCATTTTACGGTAGAAGTAGGACGAAACAGGAAAGTAATACAATGACCAAAACACCCATTTGTTTCTAGTCGTTTGAAGCTGCAGGTACACATTTGAAGGGCACACACACAAATATGGTCAACAGAACGCTTTGGCGAGGTGCCAAGGAAGAACCTTCGGGGTCTTTTTTTGTTGGGGCCCGGACCTCATTGCATATGATTTGTGGGGTACCCTTGTTGGCAAAACACACAATTTTGGGGTCTCCCCATTTTGACGTATGTCGACTTTGGTTTTATAAACGGGTCCGGGAACAAAAAAGTCCATTTGCCTTTTCGCCCCCTGGAGAAAAGACACTGATATTTCCTATAGTGATAGATTCCAACTTGAAAACCAACAGGGGGAAATAACACATCTTCATTTCAGGAAATGGAGGATTGTTTTTTCTCTCAATTCCAAAGCTAATTCGACCCCTTCTAGCATCTTGGCCCCGCTCCGCGCGCGACTGTCTCTGCTGGCAGCACCCGAAGATGTGTAATTGCCTGGCGCAGGCCACTCTGGGCGCCTTCCATTTGGCTTGGTGTTCAGGGCTCCAAAGGGTACTCGGTTGCTTGCTGCTCCCCTGATAAAAGTTGAACTTTTAGTCGTTTCATGGAAATGAGTCGGCAAAAAGTTGAAGTCCTAACATCCCTTGGCAAAATGCCCCAAAGGGTAAGAGGATTATTCCTAAGGTTCACAAACTCCCTGGTGCACTTCGCGTGGTTAGGAAGCCAGGTAACCCACTTGCCATGTGATCGACGGGGAAGTTGGTCAAACCTTGCAAAGACCTTCGATTTGATGAGTCAAGGCCAATCAGCCCAAGCCCATGCCGGGGTCCCTGATCAGGTCCTCCAGATTTGAGAGGTTCCAATAAGTTGGCACCAACGTTTTTCTGGTTTGTCTATTTTAGTAGGGGAACCCTCCCAACCAAAAAGAAACGTGAGAAAGGGCACCTAGCTGGGGGACCTAGTCACTGCCAAGCGTTGCCCTTTTGGTTTGAAAGCCAGACCACAAAGACCCAAGACTTAGGTGCAGGCAAGGCCCAACAAGGCCTCTAATCTGGTGACCTGGACCTCCCTTGTGGTATCCTTTTCTACGCCTTTCTACACAAGTTTTGCGGGGTTTCTCAGCTGGGGGAACCCGTTCCAAAGACAAGGGTGCGCTCAATCTCCTCAAAGCGCTCATCCTATCCCCAGACCCCCAGTGGATTTTGTGGGGAACTCGTTTCTCTTGGGCGTTGATTTGGGTATGGGTCAGAATGAAACCACCAGGATATGGGTGACCGCAGGTTTTAGTCCATGTTTCCATCTACCAGGATTACTCCATTTTGACTCGCGCCCATGAACACAGGGAACTCCCACTCCAAAACAAGCAAGGAAACACACACCGGAGAGCTGGGTATCTGACACGGTAAAGATGGCGGATTGGCGTTTTGAAAAGGGATTGGACTGAAACGACGTGGGCGAGATGAGCTAAAGTCGGACAAGGACCCTTTTGCGCCGTGCACCTTCCAAAATTGGAGCACCAGTCCGTACATCTCCCGGTTCACATTTCGGAAGAAGTTCCACCGTGAAGCTATCTCTCCGGACAAATCTCTTGCCTTCTTTCAAGTTCTTATTCACAATTGTCCCAGGGAGCACCATCTTCATTCGATGCCCCTTTCACCGCAATGCTCTCTGCCTGGGTCGCGAGATCTCCTGCATCACGCATCTGTCGAAGACACTTGTCGCTTTCAACTGCTAGACCGCAATTTGCGCGTCTGCTTCGACATGTTGTTTTGCTGTCCATCCAGCGCAGTTGTGAAGACGGGGAACAGGGGGAGGCTAGGCCCACGATCCTTAAGCAAGAGCATTTTGCCTCTTTCAGAACAGGTAGACGTTTAGCTCAGTCATATTGAGTTTCTTTTGGCTTCCCGGTGACAAACACGAACACAGTGAAGGCGGGTACATTTTTGCAGGTGGGGTGAGGAACAAAAAAATGAGAACCAAAGCCACAGGTGCTCTTCTGTTACTGGGAAGGGGAAAAAGGCCGCCTTCTCACAAAGGCAATACCGTTGAGGAGTTTCTTTCATCCAAATGAGGTCCCAAGGCCAGTCTTTTGGGCTGTCTTCAGATCCCCTGCTACAAGTTGAGCAATTTGATGGCGTGAAATTGGGAAACCCAACCACTAAACCGAGTACAAACCACTAAAAACCTCACAGACCGAACGATTTGCTGGGAACCGCCACGTGTGGCTGGACTTGACCCCATGTTGCGCCGCCAAACCCGCCAAAACAGGCCTAAACACCTCACTCGCTGGGCGCCCCCGAGAGACTTCTCGCACTTTCCCCCTGCAAAGCACCGGAGTGAAACGCGGAAACCCAAAAAACCACTCCACCCCGCCAACCAAAAAACTTCCAAAACGAGCCTTTCAGCACCCAGAAAAAAAATCCGCTGGGAGCCGCTGGCCTGAGCTTGGGCATCCAAAGCGTGGGCAGCACCAGCTTCATGGCGCAGTCCTGACGTACCAGTCTCAGGGCTTGACGGCATCAGGCCAAGAAAGGGATCAACAAATGGGTTCCTTGCGCCTTGCATTCGGCCCTGTGTGGCGCTGCTGCTGTTTGTCAACACCTTCCTTGCGCAACAAGTTGCACCCCCGTTCTGTTGTCTTTTTTGTTTTGTGTGCTGTTTGTGTGTTTCAAGCATGTTTTTTTCCTGGTGTTTTTTTCTGTTATTTCTGTTTAATCTTTTGTCAGAGCCCCCAGAAACTGCTAGAAACGTTTTCATAACGGTAGGGGCTCCACAGGAACAAAGCTGCCCCGCGTGCCCCCGCCACGGCGGACACTTGACGCTTGGCGTTGACATTTGCAATGGAACATTATTCTATGATGGGGTTTGAAATTTGTGTAAGGCTTCCATGGCCAAACTCATCTCTTCTCCACGGCAATTCCCCGCATACGGCTCTCACGCGGCATCTTTCTTCACCACGGGCCCCAGCATCCCAGAAAAGCGGGTCCTCAAAGCCCATCACCTGACACGGGTCCGGATCAGGTGGGCCGCGAGCCTACGAATTTCCATCAAAACTCTTGAAAGAACTTGCCAAAATGGGTCGGAATGTGTCATAAGATCGAGGCAACCCCAAAACTGGGTGGCGCAAATGGAGGACAAACCTTAGCACAAACATTTGTAGAGAAACACCTATCCTATCCATCTATCTCAGCCTCGCCTTCCCAGTTGGGTGCTGTGGTGCTCCAAATGAACATTAGCCAGTGGTCCCTAGGGGAATTTCAATAAACCTTGAATACGCTTTCCCTCCCAAGCAGAATACGCTTGAGATCGCTTGAGCCTTGGCAGCCTGGGAGGAAGTGTTGTTGTTTGGGGCTCACATCTTACCTTGCGCCTTGCCTACTCTCTTAAGGTAGCCAATGGCGAGGTTCCACCGTGCATGATGCCATACGTGAGTCCGGCACCGTTTTGGGAGGCTTTCCGGCCTTAGACGTGGGCCAGGGTCATAGCAAACAATCTCTAAGGGGGCCGAACTTGTGTGTTTTGCTCTTGCGCGCGAAGAGAAATCTGCGGACGCCCGAAATATGAGTAGCTGCTGGGACTCTTAAACTTGCCGTACTTGACGGGGATGAGTGGTTGGATGCGGTTGGCGCACTTGCATGCATCATAGGATCGTACCCCTGCATCCACCTTTGGACAACCCTCCGGAAGGGCCCAGTGGCAAAATGACCGTAACGGTAGTCAGCTAAGACAAAGCAGGTTGCTGTAGAACCCAACATAAAATGTTTTTTGCAGCTCCACTTGGAGCCAGACGCTAGCCAATCGTGTTGGCAAGATGACGTGGGGGAACCTGAAGATCCTGCAGTTTGCGTGGGCTTTTTTGTGTGGCGTGCAGCTCAAAATGTCCGAAGGTTTTTTCTGGGTCTGACAGGCAGGCGGTTGAGTTACAGTAGCCATCATATCTGGATGTGGCTCAAAACAAAGTACATAAATGACGCCTTGTTAAATGGAACCAAAGACTAAAACCTGCGCAACCCTAGCTTTTACATGTTGAGCCACACCCAATTGTTTGGCCTCTCTGGCGAATATGTGTTTGCCAAATTCGTCCAGATGTTGTTTCCAGGTTTTGGTTTGCTTGCGTTTGACTGGCCTTCCAGCGCAACCCTCTGCCCAGCCAACCCCCTAATTAAACCCCCCCGCAACAGCCTCCAACAGCCACAAATCTCACGAAGCCCTGCCCCCAACCCCGCCGACCTTGGCAGGATAGAAAAATGGCTGAAAAGGGAAACCAACGGTTCAACCCAACACCAAACGAGAAAACCAGAAACTAAGTTTGGTGACTGACCCCGCTGCCAAAAGTTTAGCTTGTGGGTCCAATTCGGAAACAAACATCCTGTTTCAACCAAAAAGCTAAAGTCCGAAGATCCGCTATTAAACAGCCACAAAGAACCCACTGAAACTAAGGGATACTTGCTCTCTCTGACGTTGCCATGGCACCTGACAGGGTGGCCCCTTCAGGAAATTCTTCTTCCAGGTACTCTCCAGGTGCCTTCTGTTGGAGGGTGAAATGGTATACATCAAAACCCCGGAAACTGAGGTTCTGGCCGCAACACCATGCACGTGTTCGATGGGTGTTTGATGCAAAAGGGAATTACCCAAGCCCTGCATGGCCCAAATTTCCTCTGCATTGTGGTCAGCAGGGCGTGTCATTTTCTTGGGGGTGCCCCCTTTTTCGTGGTCTTCAAGGGAACTCCACCGCTTTTTTTTTGGTGGGGGGGGGGAGGGCGTACCCAGTCCGAGTCCTTAAAACAAACACGTCCCAGTCAGACGCGACTTCCTTCGAGCGGCAGCGGGTTCGCGGGTTCCGGCCGCCTTCAATGCCCGCAGGTTCACGAGGCATTTCCCCAGGCGCTGGGCGAAGCCGCGGAACCTGGGCGGGGCAGCGGCACGGCGCCAGGCGCGGAGTCGCGGAGTCGCGAGGAGTCGGAGGCCGTTTCCGTTTGGTGGTTGAAACTCTAAGAGACGTTTATGGCCACAGCTTTGGGGTGGGTAAAACCGCTTTTTGTTGTTCATGTTATGTTCATAGGCTGAAACTCTAAGAGATTCATAGGTGGCCTTCTGGAAAAATGGATGGGTTTCTCTGGTGGATGGAATAAATCAACCCCATCCAAACCAGAGCCCCTCTATTTTTCGAGCAAACCAACCACGAAGAGATCTTAATGACCACAAACTTGAGGTGGGTAAAACCTTTTTCTTGTTCATGTTATGCTCATGGTGCTCGTTTTCCTCGATTTGGGCTGGAGCTTGGAACCCGGCCATTGGCTCGTTTGCTCGTGGAATCTTTGCTCATTAGCAGCCAGTTAAACCATCTTGGGTCTTCAAGCTTCTTGGTGATTCACTGTCGAGTGGATGAGCAAAAAAAACAAGTCCAGGAAGCGATCTTCCAAAAGTACTATTAGTTCCCGCAACTCAGGAAGTGAGGTAAGTAGGTCACAAGCATGGCTATGAAGGGACAGCTCCAGCTATAACGAACTTAAGCTGATTGAGCATCCGAGATGGCTTAAACCACGATCTCCGAGATTGGCTCCGAATTGGTTTCGGAACAGAAACTTATGGTTCCGGAAGGGCTTGTTGAGGCTTGTTCCAACGGCCTCCTCTGGGCTTCACGGAACCAGGGTTTGATTGTTCAAAGAAATTCGGCTCTCTGGCAAAGGGTGTTTGAGGGTTGCAACGATACCTGTGCCGCCGATGTTTCGAACATGAAATTTAGGCGTTCCAAACCACAAAAACAACCAGAACAACAGAACATGAAAGTGGCTGTTGCAAAAACATCTCGTAAATGTCCATCCTTGGGAGGGCAATTTGGGGTGTCTCAGATCTTGGCCGCCGTCGACCCCTCTGCAAAAAAAGAGAAAACTTAAGTCCGAAGATCCGTTACCAACCAGCCATAAAGAGATAATGTCGACCCAGGATTAATAAACCCGTCCCATTATCACGGGGGTGTTCCCTCCACAAGTGATGAATCCCCACTAAAAGAGGACACCCCCCTATTAACCAACCAGTGGGTCATTCATCCGGGGTTAACATTACATAGCACTCCACACCGCCAAGCCGCGTCCGCCACGCGCGACTCGCTCGACCTCGGGCCCCCCGGCAGCGCCAGGTCGTAGCTCTGCCAACTCTCCCCGTAGCCCGGGTCGATGAGCGTGAGCTCCTTCAGCCGCGCGAAGAAGCTCCGCACCTCTCGGCGTCTTGTCGTTTTCGTCGCGTTCCCGGAGTGGACGGCCAGGAAGGCCGGAGGGGAAACAAATACGCGGCAGGTGGTGGGAACGAGTCCATGGAACGGGGTGAGTGGACGGGTCGAGTGGCAACGCAGCAGGTTTGTGAAAATCCTGGGAGTCCGGGACTGAAAGCCAGGTCCCCATCTGCTTTGGAAAAAAGAAAGCCATCGGAACCATCGGAACCATCTGCAGCCAGAAGCCTAAAACCGGCGTTGGAGTAAGGCTCGTTGGGAAGAAGTGGAACACCACCCCCCACTCAGATGGGACGCATCGCTCCCTCCAATCGTGGAAACTGACAGGAGGCTCTTTATTGTCGACTGTTGGGAAGCCCAAAACGTCCACTTCCATCGGAAAGAGGGTTAATGGTTAGTACCTCGCCTCCCACCCAGGGAATCAGGACTAACCATGGGTCTGTTCAGCAGATCATGCTGTCAATATACTTGCTTTAATTTCACAATTTTCATTCGGAAACATGGAAGTAGATGTCACAAACAAATCTGTCTGTTACATCTGATGTATCCAACATATCCACGCACGGACATACTCAGACGCATGACTAGGTATACTGATTAGATATACCTGAATATATCTAGACACATGCCTAGATATCCAGGCACATGCACAAACATAATCAAACATATGCCTAGATATACCCGGATATGTCTGAATATTTCTAGACACACTGTCTACACATGTAGTACTCTGTGTGACATGTTTGTTTGGGTACTGTAGTTTGTAGACAAACACACGGAGTCTTCACCTCTGACTTATATTGAAGAACAAGTAGGCAAGATGCCAAGTCTCAGAAGATCTAGGTGCCAACACCCCCAGAACTGGAAGGCCTGCTTCTGGCAGGAGTTGGCAGTTTGGCCCCCAAGACCTCCAAACTATTGGGAGGGGGTGCTCTTTGGGCAACCTTGGCCTCAAGTCGTGTGGCTTGATTTCCTCTTCGCTTCAACTTGTCTGGCCAAACAAGTCATATGCAGTAGCCTCCCGCCAATTAACACGGAACCTGACAGAGGAAAACGGTCCAAACCAGGACCCCCTGAAAGGTCAGCTTCCATGTGAGAAACTTGGTGGGAGGGTAAGTCGCTTTCCCCTGGAGTGGGTGTTTTGGCAGTTGCCGCGGGAAAGCCACAGACTTAAGATGCGTGCCAACTGTAAGGTTCTTTCTGGGGACTCTTGCCGTAACCGCTTCCTATCACTTGCTGGTGGGATTGCTAAAGAAATGACCGAGTCCGGGTGTTGGGAATGAAGCGGCTTTGGGGATTCCCGAATTCAGGAAATCATAGGGGGCGGTTCTTGGTCGGGCTTCCAAGTATCATTCACTGCTGTTCGAACCAGAAAGATACAAGGCCCCCCCAAATGATAACAGGTCATCTTTGCAAAGGTCGATATCCCTCAATACTAAGCCCAAATATGACTAATACCAAGCGTCCAGGTCCAACCCCACTCGTATATTAGGGCACATTTGAAGCCAAAAAAGCAAGTCCAAAAAAGCAAAGCAAACGCATCCTTGATCCTATCTAAATGCCTATTCAACCAAGCATTCTGGATAGTTGTCTCCTTTTGGTAGATCTCCATACATTTCCAAGGCACCCCGTTCTTGACTCCAAGCCCTCTCTCCCCCCCAATAATACAGCATATTCTTCCCCGGGTGCTTCTGTTTTATTCGGTCATGTATGCCATATTTGTTAGCATACCTGGTCCGTTTCGTTTCCCAGTCAAGCCAGCCTGAGGGTTAGCCGAAAAACACGCACGCTCGGGGAAAGCTTTGGAAACCTGCTTGTTTCAGAAAAATGAGGCTAAACAAGGACACACAAGATCTCAATCTGTAAATCATGTGTGTTTCCTAGGGGTTTTCCTTTTAGGGGTGATCCCTACTTTGTCAATCAGGCAGTGGAACAAGGACGACCCCGACCGAGTTTGGGGGGGTACCCTACTATTCAAACACACCCCAGATCTGACTTTAGAGGGACATCCTGCTCACTCAACAAAGGCAACGCAATTCTAACCCAAAGGAACACACATAAGAACTGTTTTGTTAAAAAAGAAAAGAAAAAACAAGTAACACACCCACGCAGAGAAACACACGGTATATATACGAAGCGAAAGCCCACCACGAAACCGGGCCAACCCCAAATGCTCGCTGGGGAGCGAGCGAGCCCCTGGACAACCTGCAGCCAAGGCACCGGGGACGCGCGCAGGGCCGTCTCGTAGGCCTCGACGCACCGAGTGCGCGGCCAGGTGATGGTGATGGAGGAACCCCTTGCATAGCTGACCTTCTCGAAAAAAGCTGGCCCCAAAGCAAATGGAACAAACCCCATCTAAACCGGCGCCATCCATTTCTAACCAAACCAACCGATGGAGGAACCCCTTGCATAGGCCAGCTTTACTTTGGAAAGAAGATGGCCCTGATAAATGGAACAAAACCCTAACTTTGAGCCAGTGACCCCGTGCTTTTGATTTGAAAGGGAACCTTCTCCAAAACGACAAGGACGAGCAAGGGGCACCACGGAATGTGGGCAACTCTACGGCGAGTAACAAGTAGGTACAGATTGTATGGGTGTGTTTTCTTTGAGGGTACCTTCTTTTGGGTGGTTTGAAAGGGAAACCAAAACGAAGCTGCCATTTAGCGGGCCCCCTAAGAAAAGACACAACCATGTGCGGTGTCCGCAGAGAGTGACTGGGCCACAAGCGCGGATCCATGTCACTTAAAATGGGGGTGTTCCCTCCAAAAGTGATTCCCCACTAAACCCCGGAGACACCCCCTATTACAAAACAGAGGGTTGCTTCAGATGGGGGCAACATGATGTGTAAGCCGTCATGGATCCTATTATAGGAAGCATCGTGCCGGTTGTCAAGAGGTTGTTTGACGCTAGCACAATGTGGTAGGTGCAAGGCAAAGGGTCAGGTGTTCCAACGGAGCATTCCAAAGTGATATGAGAAACAGAGCGAACTTCCTCCACAAAACGGTTCAATTACCGGTCGGTTCCTGCACTTTTGTGGCAGGTATGTCCAGCATGTGTTCAAATATCTCCCTCGAGACTGACTCCTGTATTCTCCAGGATGCTCGGGTCGTAAACCGCTCGACACGCGGGTCCCATGCAATCATCCCTTCATTCACGGAACTCCTGCCACATTTTCCTCTTCCACATCCATCGGAAATGTGTGCCTTTCTTGCGAAGCTCCTAATGTAGCCAACCGACGCAAACTGACCGGCCAGGAAGCAAACCCTGAAAACGTCAACTACCTGAACTACCTGGAGTCTCCATGACCCTTTAAGAATGGGTCCATGACCCCATTTTTTGGGGTAATGACCCCATTATTAAAGGGTCATGGAGACTCCAGGTAGGGGTACAGTCAAACAACTTATTTCCCGAGTTTGTTAAGAAAAAGAAGCTAACTTTTGATGCGCTGCTCAAGATGGAGCGCTGCCCAAGCCTAATCCAGAATCCCACCAGCGGAGAAACTGCGACGTGCCTAACCTAGGTCCTCCAGTAGAGAGGCTAGAATAAGGGTACACCTTTTTTCTGTAGTCTATTTTAGTAGGGGACGCCTTCCCCAACAAAGGGTAAAAGGGCACTACTGGGGGACCTAGTAACCCATGGATCTGGCGGACTGCCTGTGAACAGGCCAGACTTTCGGAACTCCACCCTGGCCTTGAAAGAGAAGCTCAGTCAGACATATTCGAATCCCCAGGTGATTAAAACAACAAATCTCGGGTTTGGAACGGGGTCATGGGGACCGGTCACGGGGACCAACCCTCAAATGGCTCAGATCTTGGTGTATACCTGTACATGGAGTCGAATCCCTTGAACGTTGCGTGGAACCTTCACTTCTTGCTCGGGCTCCCCTCTTCAAATGGACCCGTCGCCATCGGTCGCACCTCGGCCGCCCGCTCAGTCAGCTCGGGCAGGCAGAAGGGAAAAGGCCTCAGCCCAACAGATTGGTGTCTATATTTATGGGAGTTTCCCAAAATAGGATTCGGACCCCCTAGATATGAAGCCGTCGTGTGACCTCAGACTGCAGGGTGAGGTCAATGCAAGAAACACGTTGGGTCCTCCAGTAGAGAGGTTAGAATAAGGGTACCAACTTTTTTCTGTAGTCTATTTTAGTAGGGGAACCCTCCCCCAAAAAATGCTAAAAGGCACTACTGGGGGACCTAGCATGGCAGGGAGGGCAGCAGCATTTCAAACCCTGAGTCGGCAGTTGCTGGGAGTTGTCATTGTCGGGCCCATTTAGTCCAAACCTCGCGAGAAATGGACGAATTGAGCTCCTTTTTGAGAGGGTTTCCACCCTCCAACTGCCAAAAAGAGAAAACGCGGTGTGTATATGCCATTTATAGGGCTGTGCAAGTAGTGGCTGTACTCACCTCCTCAGTGGATAAGCAAGTCCGAACTTTCTATTTACCACCTAAAGTCCAGGCACTCAGGAAGTGGCCGTATGCGCCCCCAAACTCCTCGCGTGATGGTCATTCCCTGAAAAGGAACCCGTACACTTGGCTGGAATTAGGACCCCAGCAAAAGATATGTTTTTTGCCTCGTTAGTTGAAAACAAACGGAACCCCAAAAAAGCAAAAAAACAAAAGGAAATAAATCTGGGGAAGTACATTGGTTCAAAACACAAACCCAAAGGTCCATGAGTATCCCTGTGCCAAAGGATCCGGTCTTTTGACCAGATGGTTTCAAGGCTATTCCACGGACCTCATCGGAGGGATAGAAATTCGGCGCGTGGCAATAATCAGAACTTTGGCAGGGATTCGCGAGGTAACTTCAAAGGGACTGAGTTACAAGCTTGTGTCGTTGTCAAACCAGGGAGACCGCCAACATGGTAGTTTGTCCTCCTGAGTTGCTCTCTAAATGAACTTTTCAAAGGGCACCCGACCGACTACCTCCTTAAGTCTCCAGGATAACATGAAAATATGTCCAGTAGTGAAAACCAACAGGGGACAACAACAAATCTTCATTTCGGCAAACGGAAGCAATTCGTCCTGACCAACTGCATCTAAACCAACCTCTACAAGGATACCCCCGCCCAAAAAAAATAATAATCTGCAAATGGAAGCCTAAAGCCCCAGGCCCGAGGCGATGCCCCCACAAAGAGTCGCCCCCCCCAAAAAAAAAGAAATATATCAGCCAATGGAAGCTCAAGGCCCGAGGCCCCAAAAGAAAAGCAGCAAATGGAAGCCCAAAGGCCCTCGGCCATGCGCCCCCAAAAAAGAGTCGCAACTTTGAAGCCCCGGAAAATTTCAAGTCGGGAAGCACATTGGCCTCGAGCAGCAAGCGCGTGACTTGGCCTGCCAAGTCGACCACTTTCCCAATGATGCCAGCCCAAATGTCAGATGGCTGTGGCTCAAAAAACCTTTGTACCAAAATGGCTTGCCCTGGTAAGTGGCAACATGGACCAACACCTGCGGTTGGCAAACCTCCTGCTTGATTTTGAGCCACACCAAAAATCATATCTGGGCCTCATCCAAAAATCATGTTGTAACATAAACCAAATATGAGTTTTGTGTGTGTGGTAAAGAATCAACGGCATGTTGGTATCCGGAACAATTCGGTTTGACCTTATCCGTGTTTATAGTAACAACGTGGCCAAAAAACCCACGCAGGGTTCTCGGAATCTCCCTCAAACGCAAACATTCGGCTGGCAAGGGTAAAAGCCCGTTTCTGAAGTGACCTTGTTGCCGAAGCAGCCTTGAGGTGCCAAAACAACATCGAAACAGCCCTAAGCGCAAATCTGGCAGCTCGGGACCCGACAACAGTCACACGTGTTTTCTTCGCCGCCGTGACACTTCTCCCAATGTTCGGACCACAGGAAGGTATCAATTGCAAACCAACCCCGCAGCTCGCGATACGACTTTGCCAAGTTGCCACAACCAACATTTTGGCCGTCGAACATGAAGAGCTGCAGCGATTTTCAAAATGGTGCCGGGCGCAAAACCACAGACGCCGAAATGAAAAACAAAACACCTTTTCAACCACACGAACGGGGTAGCAACTCCAGTTCCTTTCAATCCAATCTACAAAACTGTCCAACCAAGCATCTTCACAAGCAGATTGTTCTTTGCACATCTCCCATCCGCCGAAAGTGAACAGAGCCGGAGACCAAAAAAACTCGCCAAGCTCGCCAAGAGCGACCCTTTGAAGGCCACTTTTCCCCCCACAAGGCACGAGATGCTATCCGTGGGAAGGCTTGAAGTGGATTCATCTAGCATCCTCAAAAGTGGAACATGGAGCCAGAAAGTGGGGGCGACCGACACGATTTTTGGAGTTTTCGCCCACTTTAACTCAACCGTGCTCAAAAACAGCCAAAAGCTCATCCACATGAGCCACGGTCCAGATTACTCGCTTCTCGTGAGTCTACTAGTGGCTTTGTGAAAATGTGTGCGACTTCGCCGCACGTCTCCCCCTTTTTCTAGAATACTCTTTTGGGTTGGTTTTAAAGGGCAACGAAAAGGAAACCAACCATTTTGGTTTGTTCCCTAAACAAAGACACACGCAAATGGCCATGGGTCAAAATCCCGTACCCCCAGTGAACATCCCAATCCCAACTAAAATAGACCAAAATGGGTGGTGCATTCACCTACCCCAAATGGTACCATTGGTTTTGACCCACACCCAAACGGACCACAGACTGGTCCTTTTCACCGCTCGCACCAGGCTAATTCCCGCTGCCTCGCGTGGTTTCCTTCACGTTGTGGGGGCTCCGCGCGGAGTGGCATCGCACCTCGAGAACGAGGAGCCCGGCGAAGTTCGATGGGGGAAAGGCACGGCTCACACGTCATGATTGGAGCTCGGCCCGTTTGCTTCACTTTGGGCAACGCTGCATTTTGAGCACCTCCTCAAAGCTTGACTTCTTTTTTTCGGCAAGCTCTGGAAGTGAGTTGGCTGTGGCTCAAAACCGTTTTAGGATCCCATTTTGGGGGATTGGTGCCATTTTAGAACCTATTTTCGTGGGGATTGGGATGTTCACTTGGGGTACCGATTTTGACCCATGGCCAAATGGGTGTGTCCGATTTTGGTGGAACTGTATTTTGGGTTGGTTAACAGAGACGCCTTGATTGGAAACTTTCCAATTTTGGTGGAACTGTTGTTTGGGTTGGTTTAAAAGAGACGCCTTCAATGGAAACTTTCCAATTTTGGTGGAGGCCTCAGATAGAAACCAACCGTTTTGGATCCCCGGTTATTTTTTCAAACAACTCCAATCACAAGAGCAGTCAATACTAAACATCAATTACTGCTATCTGACGTCGGCACCGCCACATTCACTCAACTGTTCACTTCATGGATGTGTTTCAAGGTTGCTGGTTGTTTTGGCTGGTTGATGTTGAAGCAACGCCAAGAAACAAAAACTCAAACATCGGGATCCTCCGCTTTTTCGTCGCCCAACCAAAAACTCCGCCCAAGCCACCGGGCCACATGGAAGAGAGCGCACTGTGCTGCCCAAGCCACCTGGCCACTTGGAGATGACGCGCAGTTGAGCCACTCTCATGAGTTGCAATATTTCCATAACCACTGCAAGGTTGAATTGGCAGTGGGTTAAAAATAGGTGCCCAAAATGGGTTACCCTGGAAACATGGACTAAAACCAGCGGTCCATATCCTGATGGTTTAATTTTGACCCATCTCCAATTGAGTCACTTGCTCAAAACCCTTTGTATTAAAATGGTCGACCCAGAACCATGCAAAGAATTAAGAAGGAGGATATCCGCAGCTATTTATGGTTGGGATTGTCCATTACTTCCCTTCATCTACACAGGTTTTGATTGTGGCTCAGTTGAACTCTACCAAAGACCAGATCCAAATAAGCTTCTTTGGGCTTGCGTGGGAGTATCTGGGCTTGCTTGGCCATATTGAGGAGTTCTTTTTTGCCTCGCTGCCTTCTTTGGCTTGGTCACTGAACTAACTTCATGAATGGGGAAGCCTTGAACAAACATATCTACGTCCTCCAGTAGAGAGCTTAGAATAAGGGTACCAACTTTTTTTCTGTAGTCTATTTTAGTAGGGGAACCCTGCCCCAAAACAGAAACGGCAAAACGGCACTACTGGGGGACCTAGCTGGGGTCTGCAACATAGACGGATGTGTGGTGAGCTTTCACCTGGCGGAGCTGTAGAGAGGCATGGATACCAGGTACGTAAACAGTAGGCAAGCAGCCAGTTGTCTCTTGGTGTTTAAAGGTTGGTTCCAGTGGTTGCCTATCTCTGGGTGAGGCATGTCATTTTGACAAGCTTCGAAGCAGGGGGCGTTGCGTTTGGCATACCATTCCTTGTTGGAGAATCCTTTGAATGCGGACCCTGCCTCCCCTCCCCCTTCCTCCGGAGCCAAGGTCAAAACAAGTTTAGACTCAAAACCATTAAGCGACGAGAGAGTTCCATTCCCTGAATTTGGCAAGTGAACACAGGCGTGTTTCATCCCAAGCTCAAGTTGACCATGGCTACACAGGCTTGTTTGACCACAAAGCAGACATAGACACCCAGTTGCCCTGGGAGCAAATAAAAACTGTGTTCCTCTTTGTGGAATGGCGTCCTCTTAAAGTTAATCAACGGCGCTAAATTATTGCCACTATTGCTATTATTCCACACATATCATGATCACGTTCATTGACTACCATTGTTATGGCGATGGCAATTATCACTAAGACTAGCATTGTTGCTGCACGTAGTAGTAGTAGTAGTAGTAGTAGTAGTAGTAGAAGTCGTAGTAGTAGTAGTAGTAGAAGTAGGAGTAGTAGTAGTAGTAGTAGAAGTAGTAGTAGTAAGTAGTAGTAGTAGTAGTAGTAGTAGTAGTAGTAGTAGTAGTAGTAGTAGTAGTAGTAGTAGTAGTAGTAGTAGTAGAAGTAGTAGTAGTAGTAGTAGTAGTCGTCGTAGTAGTAGTAGTAGTAGTAGTAGCAGGAGTAGTAGTAGTAGTCGTAGTGGTAGTCGTAGTCGTAGTGGTTGTGGTTGTGGTGATAGTAGTAGTAGTAGGAGGAATATTAGTAGTAGTAGTAGTGGTAGCAATAGGAGTAGTAGTAGTAGCAGCAGCCTCTGTAGCAGTAGTAGCCGTAGCAGTAGCAGTAGTAGTAGCAGCAGCCTCTGTAGCAGTAGTAGCCGTAGCAGTAGCAGTAGTAGTAGCAGCAGCAGTAGGAGTAGCAGAAGAATAAGTAGTAGTAGCAGCAGCAGTAGCAGGAGTAGCAGGGGTAGTAGCGGCAGCAGTAGCAGGACGAGCAGAAACAGCAGGAGCAGCAGCAGGAGCAGCAGCAGGAGCAGCAAGAATAGCAGGAGTAGCAGGAGTAGCAGCAGTAGCAGCGGTAGCAGGAGTAGCGGGAGGCAGTAGTAGCAATAGCAACAGCAGTAGTAGCAGCAGTACTTTTATTATTCATTTTGTCATACTACGTTTGAATTGTCATGATTATGAGTCGTGGATTTGGAAAATGCTAGCTTTTGCAAAAACAAACAAACATTTTGTTGTTGTCATACTTATGTTAATTCCCTCTCAAATATCGTTATTACTATCTTACCTATCATGGATTTAAATGCCGGTAATACCTGACTGGCGCACGGAACACGCCAAAAACTGGCTCGGTTGCTCCTTGTTGTGGTAAAGAAGATAACTCCTGCTCAACCTTTCGACTCCCAATCAAAAACTGGTAAAATGGTGTACCCAAACCAATGCCAACTACAAAGGCGGCCGCGACTACATCTGGTTGGGCACTTGCCCGGGCTTTGAC